AAAAAAGTCACAGTATAGTATGTTGAAAAAAGTCATAGTATAGTATGATGAAAAAAGTCACAGTATAGTATATAATTGGAAATGGGAATAACTTTAAAAAATCTGAATAAACTCTCTAAGTGGCAACAGTATGTATTATAGTAGAGCTTGTATAGTTTAAACGTTAAAGGAAATACATTTGGAAATCTTGAGCTCCGGGTTTAATGGATTTATAAATCCCCAAAAGTATAAAAGAGATAAAAACAATTCATTTTTGCAGTTTCTTACCTATTAACATGAAAAAAAGCCTTTTACTCCTCACTGAACACCTTTTGCTTCACTGCACCTTTATTGTTCTTATACAAAGTTTATAATCAATGTGAAGGCATGAACTGTGCCAACATAACATATATTAGCATATATTAGTAACTTTTGACTGAAACATTGAGATTTGTGTTATGAAAATACTTCATACATCTTTATGGTTCACAATAATTTTTCTTTATCTTTCTTTTCAGCCCCTATGAGGTTGACATTTTTGTATTTTATTGACATAATGATCAAATACCCACAATACCTTTTTTCCCTTTTACCACTTACATTGTAATATTTGTGACCCACACTTAAATGAGAAGAGCATATGTATGTTAAGCTCGTACCTTTTTCTCAAGAACAAGCCGAGTGAAAAAGGCCGACAGTCATAAATGCACACATAGCTGTCACCATAAAACACATTTCAATGCTCAACTCACATCATGTCAAACTGTTAGTAAAGACACATATTCTATCACATCTTTTAATGCACAAATCAAGTTAATCCTGCAGAGCACAATAACATAACATTTAGCAACATTTTACAGTACTCCATTCACAGTTTGTATTTTTTATATTTATTCTTTGCTGGTTCATCATCTAAATGTCATTTTGGAGTGAGTGGCGAACACATGAATCCATCTTTGTATGGCCGTGCTGCATTTCATGGTTTTTGACTTTAAAGTCATTAAAGTCCAGAGACGAAGCTTCCCAGCAAAATGATTTGAAGCAGATGAAGTGACACATCTGACCCGAGGGGACGGCTGGACGTCCCCGTGAGCATTCTCCCGTCTTTGGACACGGAGACGATGCGACTGAAGGTGGGGTGGATGTGTCTGAAGTTGTTCTGCAGAGGTGTCACCTGCTCTGCATCCTCCTCCGTGGAGAAGATCTGTGAGGAAAACTGAGCCAGCTGAGGAGAAAAGATCAATGATGAGCACTCAAGGAAACCATTTCTATTGTTTTTCTGTCAGAGAAAAGACATAAGAGACATACTTGGGACCACGAGATGTAGATGGGAACTTCGTACAGAGTCCACACAACCGCTTGAGAACACGGAGGGGTGGTGAGACTGCCGTAATAACGGTAATACTGACTCATGTTGTGCTTTGGCAGAAGGTTCATCAGCGGGAATGGCTTGATTTTCGTAGTTTGGCCTGGAGGCAGGATGCACAGCCGTGATGAGAACAGAGTTACAAACAACAGAAACAGCAGGCAGGAGGGACTTCTCTAAGAGTGCTCTCTAACCTTTGTAAGCGACAGAGGACAGCTTCTGTGAGATGAGTCCAAAGTGCACATTGTCTGCGTAAACAACCTGAAAGAACGCATTAAAATAAGGGCGTGTTCGTATGCTACAAATGCTTGAATATATAGAACAAATATCAATCGACGGACATCAATAAAGAATCCAAGAACAGCAAGTCCTGTTGGATCGTGCAAGGCCGCTGTCACGTTCGGATGGTTGGACTTCATGTTGACGACGTGCATCTAGAAGTAAATAAAAAGCACAGACGTTAAGGGAAGGCTGCACCGCGCCAGCCTGCTGCAGCAGTTGTCGGGTGACAGTGTAGAGCTCGTCTACTGACCATACTGTACCTCCATCGGGTATCTGCGTCTGTCCACGGTGTGCTCTGAACCGTTAGTGGCCGGGCCTCCCCAGTGGAAGTGCAGCTGGATGGTGTGGTACACATCTGGAAGACCTCCACCGCTCACCGACATGCCATTGCCAACCTGCAGCACGACTGAGAGAGCAAGACCAGTCGGTGTAATCACCAACACAACAATGTGCACGTTCATGAAAGTGTCTTTTTGGTGTATTCACCAGTGTGCCCGTCGTTCTTGATGGTCCAGTGACCCGTTTGGATCACATCGAAGCCCTCCAGATGTAGAGATCCCAGAGACTCGTTCCTGGTCATGTGGTGGTCCAGATTGATGGGAGAGTGATGCTCTTCAAGTAAAGGATGACAAGACGGGAACATGTCTCCCCATGCATAAGGATCTGAGGACGGTGAAGAAACCACAGAAGAACCTGCTACACCAGTGACTGAACGGAAGACGTACATTAATGGTCTCAAAGATTGTAACCTGTTTCCTTATTATTGTGACAGGAGAGAAGAAAAATATTAAATCAGTTTAATTCTTAACCTCGGAAACAGAAAAGATTTTACAGCTATTCTGGAGCTTTTGATCAAATCCCGCCAACTTCCTCTGCAGATTGAGTTCACTTTACAAAAGTTTAAGACAGTAATTTCTTGAGCTTGGAAACTAACAAAACAATCTCATCTCAAGTTTCATTTTGTAGCAGTTCCAAAGATTACATTTCTTTTTTCTTTTATTCTCTAATCTTTGCTTTTTTTCTTCTGAAACACGCGACAGTTTAACCTCTTGAGGCCTCCAAACACTTATTCAAATGACACATTGTGAGAGGTTTAGAGGAGAACATCCGCTCACAACTCAAAGACATATTGAACCGAGGGGTTTGTAAGAAGACACCGCTTCATTTTAGGGGTTCACCAACCAAGAACAGCCACACAGCATAAAAATAAAGATAGTAACAGAAATTAAATTGTATAAAACCACGGGCCTATTACAGTTAAATATCTCCCATTGGCCAGTAAACTATTCACCAACAAGTGGAGACATAATATATTCTGACGGCCGCTAACACTTTATTGAGATGACATATTCTTTAAGTTCTAGTCTGTGTTTTAAAACAAAAGTTATGTTACTTACCACAGTGTGGCTCATCGTAACAGTAGTCCTCTGAAATATAAAAAGAGCACAATTTTGTCAAGTAATATTTTTCTCAGCTTTAGAAATGACACATCATGAATACAGTCTATAGACTCGAGCAGGACCCTCACCTGAATCACCGTATGAGACAAAAATCACGAGGAGAGCAGCAGCCCAGATCATCGTGGTGGACTCCTGACAGGTGTCCGTGTCCGAGGTAGACGTCCCGCTTAAGTGGGAACGGAGGTGGAAGCCGAGTTTTATGCTCTCCTGGTCTGATCAGCGAAGGGTGTCATTACCAGTCTAGTGGTCTTTCCTGATCAACAGGCTCATTGATGCAGGACAGCTTCACCCCCCCCTCCCACTAGTGCCAGCATAGATGCCCAGCGACCAGTAACAAGACCTATTCATGCCATGGGAAAGTCAGCGGACGTGTGGCACGCTGAATTAGAAGAGGTACAGAATATATATATATATATATATATATGGTTTCATGCAAGGAGGGAGTAGAAATGTATCTCCTGTAACTCTCGGTGGTTAAAAAAGTGGAAACAGGAACATTCAAATTGTAGAAGAAAGAAATTAAATCTAATCAGTGTGTGAAATAACATTTTATGATATTAAAGCACCTGAAGGACATCATCCTCATTCAAATATAAACATACTGCCTCTCTTAGGAAAGTCCTTTGAGTGGAAGGGGGAAATCAAACTCAATGCTTTCACACAAACGTCCTGAACAGATCCACCTGAAACAGTTCTTTCTAAATACTTCCTGTTAACGTATGTAGCACACAACATTGTGCTTAAGTTGCCAGTTATCATCAACTCGATATATTAAAAACTCTCGATATGTGTGAAAGGTTTTTAAGTGATGTCACAGTTCAAAACTGTCTTGACTTAACGATAAGCATCCAGGCATAGATCATGTGATTCTGTGCCCGTGTGAACAAAGCCTCTTTTCTTCAGCCACAATGCTCTCCAGCCGGGTATCGCTATCTCTGCTCCGCCCGCCGCCTCACGAGTCACTGCGAGGTGCGATATATCCGCTTTCTTTAAATTATTTCAATCGCTTGATGGCCGTGGATTGAGTTTATCTTAACAACCTCCATCTCACTGTCAGAGGGGGGGGGGGGAATTTCCCCACATCCCACCTTAATCCTCTGTGGCATTTGGTGACTGCAGACGGAGGACTTTCCTGCAGGACTCACAGAAGCAGCTAAATGTCGTGATTGATGAGACTCGACAGAGTTCAGTATGACGCTGTGTTCATACCCACTGACGCATGAGTCGTCCTTCATAGTGCAGTTGATTTAACATTAGATGTACATCTACCTCAGAAAAACACAAGCCCTCCCTGCAGGATGAAGCACTTTTTGTTTTTTAATTTAAAGGCTTTGAAACAATGAAATGTAGCATTTTGTCGTATTATACATAAAACATATCAAATCCATTAAAATGAGTTCTCACACCACCAGAGTCTAGCACACAAACTACAGCATGAATGCAGCTTTTCGGGGTCACGGTCAGGTTTTTTGGATGTATACAGAGATGATGAAACTCTATGCAGGAGTGGAACTGTACAGGACTGTTGAGCTGAACATGTTTCCATCAAAAGAAAAGTCTCTCTGCATGCCAAAAAATTAAATAAACAACATGCACCGCAGCTCCAAAAAGCAGGTTGAAAAATAAAACCAAACGACTTCGATGAAAACTCAAAATCTCCCACACACACACACACGGCATTTCGTTTTTTCGCAATTTATGAGATTTTGTTTCTGGGATGATCAATGCACCCCCCCGCACAAAATCATAATGTTTTATACAGTAAACTCAAACATGAGACACTCAGACAGTCACACTTACAGCTGGTGTGAATGCTGGTGGTTGTGGGTTCAGTCTGATCGAACTTCTTCAGGCTTTGCAAAATTCATCCTCGAGTGAATCAAACGATTGTCGTCATAAAACGGGTCTAACAAGTTCCAAATATACAGTTTATCTTTATTACAATATTTCTTTTACTGCAATCCCACCGAAAAACAAGGACGTCGACAGACCCATCGACAGCGAACAGAAACAACCGAGATGACCGATGTAAACAAACACATCAGAGATGGAGCGGCAGCATCCAAATGTGACATTTAACTCATTTCTTTGCAAAAAAAAAAACCCAAAAACAAATTAAATTGTAGTTTTTGAATCCCTAAACATGGTTCAGTTTGCAAATACACAACTATGCTGCTAAGAGTCGATGATTAACAACAAACGGGTCCGTTTGATTAAATATATTGATTTTCTCAAATTAAATGACAGGATATCGTCTCTAATCTTCACGCGTACACTCGAAAAGCTTCATCGCTCATGCTCGCTGATCCCCGGGGGAGTTCAGACTGTTTCCATCTCACAATAAAACAATCACGATTACAGCCTGCAGTCATAACTTATCATCAAAAAGAACAAACTCTGATATTTATCAGTACCACAACATTCCTGGAACATTACCTAGTAAAAACCACTGTAGCAGGAAACTAACCGTACTCTCTTGCAAGGTTGAAACCCCTTAATTACAAAACATTTGCTGCAAATACGCGCTATAAACCTGGAAGACAGCTTCATGTATCAGACTAATAAGAAAGGGAGGGGGGGCCGTAGATTCTCTGAGCGAGTAGAAATGGGGCTGATGAGGACATTATTGTAGCCTGGAGACCGTCGGATCAACACAGAAACGTCCATTTGGACGGTAAGATGCAAAATGAAAAGACGCACAAGAAGAAACATTAGCTGAATTCACCGTCCGTCTGTCATTCTTGTGCTGGACTGTGTGACACACGAGTATAACAAATTTGACCGGCACAGACCTGAAGGGGTATTTACATTAAGGGCCGCTCGACCGATCGGGACAACTCTGAGATGTTTCAAAAAGCTTTGCTCAGTCGATGCTAAAAGTAAAAGTGCAGCCTTCCCGGCCACAATGGAGTCTGTATAGAAACAGTTGTCTCTGCTCCCTCAGAAGCCAGTGTTCAAAAAAAAAAGAGGAAGAAAAAAAAACACTCAAAAGGCCAACTGCAGGAGAGTCTTCAGAAAGAGGATTCTGTTGTGTCTGTACAAACTTTAACTCCCTCCACAGTCTGCAGCTCCCTCCGCGGTCCTTATACAACGGTGCTGAGGGTGGAGGCGCAGTCTGCGGGCGCGGAAGCAGGGGCGGGGCCATCTGTCGGAGTGTCGGGCCCCACAAGGAGAGTGCTGCTATCTATGGAGTCCTCCCGCTCCTGAGAGGGCGGTGTCGAGTCGGTCGCGGGGCCGGAGGCGTTGGGGATAGCTGCATGGAGCCCGTCCACCATGGCGTTCATCTGGCTCGGCACCAGGGACACCCCGTGTCCTGCGGGTGAACAAAAAGAGAGGGAATAAAGTCGACAGCCTGACACACGATGAGATACATGAACAACAGGCTCCGCGCCTACCGAGGTCCACGTAGATGAGGCTGTCTGGGTTGATGGAGGCTTCGTACGGAGGAGGGGGGTCGTCAGGGTGCTGGATGTCGGGGTACTTGTAGGCTGCGTACGGCGGAGGAGGCTCTTGGAAATGGAAAGCTCCTCCCTCTCCATCATCGGACAGATGCAGGGGAGTGAGGCCGGTGCCAAAGGCATCCGGGCCGTAGTCAAAGCCTGGGACTCGTCTTCCGAGGTTGAAGTGGTGCACTGAGCAAAAAAACACAAAGGATGATGTGAAACAACTGCACTTAAAATACAGCCACAAAAATCATCCTTTTTAAAGGAAGAGAAAGCCTTAAATTCCCTGAGCAACTTATTATTGTTCAGAGGGTGGTGTGCAAAACGCTCACAGTTTCCTCCGATCAGAGTTTCGATGCGTTCGCGCCTCCGCTGACGGAGTCTGTGCACCATGAAGAGCAGCAGCGAGAGGATGAGGAAGGACGAGATACAGCTGACGATCAGTCTCATCCCGCTGGCCATCGAGTCAAACAGACTGTTTCCATCTGAGGAGAAAGAGAGAGAAAACCGACAAAATAAGAGTATCACGAGCTGGGGGGCTCATTGGTGCTCCCGAGTACTAGAAACGCAGATGGCATACATTCCGTTCGTGTGGCAGTACCTGGGTCCAGGCAGGTGAACTTGCAGCACTCTTTGGGATCCTTGCGGAAGTGCTGGCAGCCCTGCGGACGCTCACACAACGCCGCCACACACATCTCCGGCTCGCCGTCGTGACACGTGCAGCTCAGACACGGGTCGTCCCCCTTGGGGGTGAAGTAGTAGCCCTCATTCACAACGTTGTCTTTTATATCCACACACGTTTGCCCTGTCGGGGGGAACAAAATGACATCAAGACGTTATCCAAAAATGAACTTTATATGACTGGGACAATACTTATAGGCGTCTTTACATTTCTGATGGGAAAGACATAACGAGCACATACTCCTCTTGCAGAGAAATGGGAACTTCTTGTAGCAGTTCTCAGCGTGCCAGCTGTGCAGACCTCGTTCATTCATGCTCTTGATCTGAAAGCGCTGCAGTTGGGCACAGAAGACGTTGTCCTGGGTGGGAGACGCCTCCCCAAAGTTGGTCAAACCCTCGGGTGGCAGAAACACCTGCATGGACCCTGTTGAGGAAAACAAAAAAACATTTTGAGCGTTACAACAATCAAGTTGCGGAATAGTAGTTGGCTTTCTATTATTTAATAAGAGCAGAGAAAGCTCATACCTTTGTATGCGACCTCCCAGCGGCCCTCCAGAGAGTGGTTCTGATTGGTGATCACATACTGGTAGCCCACCCAAAACCTTAAAAACAAAAATAACTCCAAAGTTTAATTAAATGCACTTTATCAGATGGTCCACTTCAGGGTTTATGCACAAACCACTACTGGCCACTAGATGGCCTGCAAACCAATGATGGACCCACCTCTGCTGAAACACTCTGAACATTTGAATGAATATTTATTAAAAAAGATTTCAATGTGTTAGATAAGTTAACTTGACACTTAAAGGTTTTAATGTCTTTTCTGTGAATTAATTGAATCATGCAAGTTCAGCCAGATATTTGCCGTTTGTCTGCATTTGTCTTTGCACTGAAATTGCAGACTACACACAAACTGTAAATGACTGTAGGAACTGAAACCTCTGACTAAACACTTCTAACATCCGTGAAGTGAAGCTCTTATAACAACCTACAATCGAAGGCTTTGGACTGAAGAACTCACTTGCACTGGTCTCTGCGCTCACAGACTTTGTCGTCAAAATCCACCTCTATCTTCAGGATGAACTGCAGCTCCTCGTTGGTAACGAAAGTCGCCAGCGAGCCGTTGACTTTCTGACACGTGTCGACAGCCTGCCAGTAGTTCTCGTTCCTCAGGTACACTTTGTAGCAGCTGGCCGTCTTCTCGTAGTGGTGCCACCCACTGGGGCATTTCTCTATGGACGCAAAATAAACTTCAACATCTTGGTTGATAAAAGCAGCGCACACACGCGTTATCAAGCATGAATATGATAAAGGAATATGTCTATATTGCAGATTCCACAACATTAACAGGGGAGGGTGAAGCGGGATGCTTACTGTTGAAGCGGACAGGCTGAGCCACACCGATGACGTCTTCTACCTGGTCGTATCCCTTACCGAAACGAAACCTCTCCTCCTTTATAGCTGCAAAAAAATTTAAAACAATGTCAACAAGTGTGGACACGTTTTTACAGAAGAACACTTTTTCAGTGCACATATCAGTTTATGTCGTGCGACCTGTTAAACGCCCGTGATGTAATGAACAAGGCATTTCATCAGTCCGCTAGATAAACGGATAAACAGACGGTGCTGCTTGCTTCTGCACCGACTCCAACTGGTCAATATCATGTGTGTGCAAAGGCCTGTTTTGTCTTAAAATAGTATAAAAGTTCATATTTCTATAAATGTCCACAGAGTGTATAGACTAGTTCTGGTATTCCTCTAAGTACACTTCTCTTTCTCTAGCTTTATATTTACTTTAGTGCTTCTGATCAGCATTTCCTCTTTATCTTCTTTAGAAAACATGACGCTCGCGTCTGAAGAACCAACTTCAACCCACAAGAAGTAAATACAGATTTGAGGAAGATAAAAGCAGAACCCAAACCTTACTTTATTAACATTAAAACAGAGCAGATTGTATTCTCTACTAAGTCTCAACAAGAGCTCAAAGTGATTCAAATCTAAAGTCCCAGCAGTGTCTCCATAAAGCACAATCTCTACCTTTCTCTAAGGACACCGACGTCAGGATAAATCTAAATATGTTTAGATTTTACTTTCTCCCTCTTTAGAAAACACTATTGCATAGAACCGCTCTTTTGTCTGCAGCCTGGCTTACTTCGGTACAGTCTCTAGAAGACCCTTTTTTCCCCTCTTTAACCTGCAGTTGAAGTCATGAGGTGGAACAGTTGCCTCTGGTGCTCGTCGAGGCTGGAATTAGTGGGAGCGATCGCTCCACCTCCACATGTTGTTCAACAAAGAGCTAATCCCAAACAAGAACATTGATTTCCATGTGCGCTGTTGGTTTAGCAGACAATAAGCCCTCACACTGAGACATGTGGGAGCATTGTTTGGGTTTCTCTCTCGCCTTCCTCTACGAAATCACAGCTACTCAGCGCACAGGGAACGGGTAAATACACGCAGACAGAATATACTGTATATGCATGTTTTTAAGGGACCTTTCATGGGTGAATAAACAAAGAAAACAAATGGATCACTTCCTGCTTTGATTGCATGTTCCATCAGTGTGGTTTTACTGAGGACTGACTGCTGTGTACAGCGTTGTTTCCGGGCCTACAGCGGTAACCTAAAGGCACACTGCTGTGCGGAGGTCACATGCTGGACTCAATCCTCGGTAATTCCTATTACGCGGTCAGAGATCTGGGGATAAGGTCTCTCTGGATTTAAGAGGGGGAAACAATGGGATTTCGGTCAAAAGGCTTAGCGCCGCAACATCCATGCAGTGTTAAAGAGATCAACGAGCGGCCAACAACAACAGAGACACATATGCAGCCACTCAAGAGTTCAACTCTGCCTCCCCCTGCCATCTGATGCGGTGGGTCCAGATCAGCTAGTCTTGATTTTACAATCCTTGTGGTGGATTAACCAGCAGATTTAAAACCTCCTCTGTTTGGTAAAAGTAAATCAGCTGGATTTGAACCACACACTACAGGCTACTGCTGCTCACATGTGGTCCCTGTGATCCCGACTGTCCAAGTGGGGGAAAAAGCTCCCGGGTGTTGCTCCTCTTTCCAGAAATCAATCATGTTATTATGAGTGTTAGGCAATGGAGTGGGTGTAAAAAAAAAAAAAGGGGGGGCTTAGGAGAGCTATACTCACGGGGACAGTCCATCTCGTCGCTCTTGTCCTCACATGCTGTCCAGCCGTCACACTGCCAGGACATCGGGATACACTGCATCTTCCCACTGCGGCAGGCGAACTGCCCGGGGCTGCAGCGCTGCTCTGAAAACACAACAAGAGAGGAGCTCCTGTGGTCAAACGTGCATGTGACTGAGCCTGAAAAACAGTTCAAGTCCAGCAGAAGACTGAATGAGGTCACGCTTTTAATGGATGAAGTAAGAGATCCTACACGGTGATGGGGTGTATTTAGGGGGGTGTGGAACACATGAACAGATTGTTTGTGTTCTTTCTTATAGCACCTGGGTGCAAATTATAAAAAAAAGATTTCTCCTTCATTGTGAATGTTGTTATTCAGCACTTGTAGCCGGCTGTACATGTTGGACGTGACAGTCGGTCTGTGGTATTCCTCCCGCCCCTCCTCCACTGTGATTGGACGGCTGAGTGCAGCTTTTCACCCAAAGTTTGAGATTCTTTAGCTTCTCAGAAACCAGAAGAACAGACGTGCAACACCGTGTCACACTGACGGCGTTTGTAGCATATCGTAAATGCTACGATGCTACGCTATCCCATTGCAAAGAAGAAGGAAAAATACACTGGCCTCAGAGAGAAAAAAAAAAAAAAAAAAAAAAAAGACCTTGGACAATGCTCCTCAATCAGCAGGACATTTACACCCACTTGTTGTCAGCATGAGAGCCCACTCACCCAGAGCAAAGGAGGAAATAACAGATAGAGAAGGGATCCTGGCAAAGAAAACCAAGAAACTCAACTTGTTTATACTAGTCATGAAAAAATTTGGTGTATCCCCCAAAATCAGACCATTGACAATATAACAATAAGACTTTTGTAAGTGACAGTTGGGTTATTAGGGCGACTGGAAAGACATAGCCTTGGACCTGCAGCAGACACACTTCATGTCTTTTTGTTTGTCTTCACATCATGAGCGGTTAGAAGGTGTTCTTCATCATATGCGAGGGAAAGTTCAACTGATTGTGATGCTCTGGTTTTCCAGAAACAAACTATATTAGCTGCTGAGAGAATAATATTTAATATTTATATAAAGGGGATTCTTCTGTTGTAAAGAACGTATAAATGAATAAATCAATCCCAAGTGTTTTCAGGCTTCTTTTTCTTATTACAATCTGATAACATTCACGGATCAGTAATGGTTCACACTGAAGGATTCTAACCAAGAGATCAGACAGACCACTACACTAAAAGATAGACTGCATGCTTACCTGACAATAATCTTGCCAGAGCTAGCCGCGGACCTGAAACAAACAGAAACAACAGAGTGACTGTCCAATCCAATGTGTCATCTGCTCATCATGTTGTCTAGAAGAATGTCTAGTGTTTATACCGTCAACAACTCTCTGTGCTCTGTGATTAGAGGGTAGATCACACCATCTGTTCCTGGACACGGGTGCTTGTGTTTACCTACGAAGCTGTACCACCCACTCACGTGACAAAGATTTTACTTAGAGGAAGACTTGGAGCCATTTCCAGCGACTATTGTTTCACTTGTGTACCAAACATCTGAGGTGACATCACCCCACACAGACCAGAACGCCAGCTCTGATGACACCACAGAGCGACAGCAACACTCGGCTTTAATACGGTTAATAAAAAAAAACAGCCTTTATTTGAACAATAGTTCTGACCGCTGCACAAATTAATGACTAACCTGATATTTAAAAAAAACACATATGAGCATCTGGCAATGTCCCAAAAAAGTATGGATTTACAAACCACACAAAAAGGTTTGCCCACTATTTCCAATCATAGTGCAACCTCAGCACTAGCTTTGTTTTAAGAAAATAATAGTTAAACTGCAGCTAAATACAACTGAACCACAAGTACTTTCACAACAAAGGCTTTTCGCTTCATTTGGCACAACATCCTGCTTACTGCATGGCTCAGACACAGCTAAATGGAACAAGATTAATAAGAATATGATGTTAAAAGTATTTTAAAGCTCCAGCACCACGGTTAGTTTAAGAGTTACCGCTTCGTGAGGCCGGGCTATTATTAGATATAAACGATAAGAAAGAAAAGGTCCGAGTCAACATATCCTGAGACTGTAATGCAGAATTGCAGAGCTGTCTTACTTGATGCTAAGTGGATTGAGACGCATTACAGACCCGTCTCAGTCTCCGGGGGACTGAACGCGTTATCATCGATCCCATCAAGCCCTAATATGTGTCAAATTGATGGATAACATTAAATACCATGTGTCCCAAATGTCATGTCAATAATTAATGCACACAGAATAATAGATCAGGTAAAAAAGAGAGCTATTGGCTTTCAGAGTCGAGAGTCAATCTTATTCTAAGTGCCTTGCAAGATAACATAATTATGGTCAAATATAATATCTAATCTTTAACTCACACATGTGATGTTACAAAGACATCCGAGGGCTTTTATAGTATTTTTTTCGATATTGTACGAAGACATGTTCCTTTGCCATGTCAGCCGACTGGGACGCTAGCAAACAAATCCAGCTGGGGAGTGGTTATCTCAAACGTAGCCGTGTCTGCATGTAATCCCGACGAGAACATAAACGCCCGGCTTGTACTTTCTGGTGCCTGTGGTTTGAATGAGGACTCGCTGCCCGCACAGATCCGTATTCAGTCGTTCTGTTCCAACAACTGCTGCTGGGAAATTTCACAAGAGTAGAGTTTATTCAGATAAAGGGAGACTATTTATGCTTTAGGTTATCAGATGGTACATGTTGAAAGCACGGCTTGTTTTTAGATACAAGTGTTTAAAAAGAGCCTGTCAGCTTGATGCTGGAGTGCACTTCCCTCGACATCAACTGAACTTCAGGGTGAGTGAAATGGCGTCTCTGAAGCTGCTGTGGTTAACAGCGGTTTTCCCCTCCTTGTTTGGTCGGTCGGGACATTTCATCAGAGAGATTTTAGATTTTGTTTTGAGACTAGGCTTAGAGAAGATGATCGCTCAAAATGAACCACGTATGATGCACACACACACACACACACACACACACACACTGTGTCTTGTGGCCGTATGCAGAAATGCATCTGCCTGGGAACGACTGTATAAATGACTTAAGCATGACAAACGGAGCCGTTCTGAAGGTGGGCAGAAAACGTCTCTTCTTCCTGAGGCCATTTCTCTCACAAGCGTTGGGTTTAGTCACGTCGAGTCTTCGACCGAGCGAACGCTGGCAACCCTGAGACACGTGAAGCTTTGCATCTCTTACATAGCCAACAGGAAGATACAATAAAGACTGGAGACTGGCCCCCAGCTCAGTCCCACTGAAGGATAACGGCAAAGTGAACCGGCCTTGTGTGCACACCGCGTTCCTCTCCAGCCGCCGGTGATTCACATCAACACTGAGGCTCGCTGTTAGAAGCAGTGAGTGGGTACAAACATTCATTTCTTCCTTTCTTTGTACCACCTCACATTTAAAAGCAATATACTTTCTTTTATACCGGCGTGGATGAACGCACTCCGGGTCAAACTCTTTCAAAAACATAGCTGTTCGGTTTGCAAATTCTTAGATGGGCAGCCTACGTAACAAAAAGCAATTTTGGGGGGGAAATGAATATGTGTTGCGTCGAAATGCTTGACACCAATATGACAACGTCAACACTTCAAATGGTAAACAGAGTTGCTCTTGAATACAGAGCTGTAGCACTGAGTTTCACCATATTAGGAGAACACGGTGGTGATCTTTACAGACTCTCTTGGCTTTCAGACGTGTCGCCAGTTTGACTGAAATCTCTTCTCCCTGTGATACTGTCAGTTTACACCTCTGAATGGTTAATTTCCTCCACAGACAGCACAGCAGCATCAGCAAGATGTTGCTAAATGTTTCAGGCGCAAAGGTCATGATCAAAAACAACAAATTTAACACTTTGCTTATTTGCCAGATTACTTTTCTCCCATTTCCATCCAATAGCCGACTCGAGGATTATAGTTATGTTGGAAGTATGAATTTATGGCTTTATATTGAGCCAAGAGACATCTGACTTTTGTCAAAAGTTAAACTGTTTTGTGCTGAACAGAAAGTGATAAATCAGCTGCCAGTGTAACAGACGGCTCATTCAGCCCCACAGACGATAAACATCGCGTTGAGCCCAATGAGACTGCTAACTTTGTCTGCTTCTTCTGAATTGCTGAGAGCACATTGAAGACGCTTAGTTGAGTCGAACCCAAATCTACTGATGATCAGTCTCACATTCAAACCAAAGTTACAAGCTGCCTGCTGCTTCAATGAAAAAGTAAAAAAAGGAGACGATTACCCAGATCTGCCTCGTTGTTGGGCTCATTCACATGAACAGAGGAAGGAAAATAACTCTGGATTCGACTATTAGTGCATTTTACAACTATTCAAGTGTTCATACTGGGAAGTTTATTCCCATTACTCCTCTTGAGTTACAGATGTTTTCCCCAATGTAAGCCGTTTTTGGGGCCCAAAAGGCTTTTAGCCGCTATGTACAATTAGCTTCGAGGCCTGGTGCTCTTCCTGCGGGCTCTTTTGGGAAAAATATTCCCATTACTCAGGTGGACAACGTATTCACGATCACATGCATGTCTCTGTAGTGTGGGAGCGAACTGAAGCAGCCACAGGACATGCACATGTGCTAACCACCGAACCACCGCGGTCTGCATGTGGTCTATTTCCGTTGCTACAGTTATCACGTGCGTTTTCACAATATTGTGCAGAGTAATGTAAAACATACATGCAGGAGCAAACCCCCACGAAGACACATTATTTACATGTGAAACTTACTCGGACGCTAAAAGTGATTCGGATCATAATTTGAATTTAAAGCACCTCCAACGAGCTTAATTCTCCTTTGGATGGAGTGTATTTAAAGCCCAACTACATTAAAATATTGACATTTGAATGCTGCCTGGCTCACTGGCAGACATCCAGAAGGCTAACCAAAGAGCCATTTCGTTTTATGATGCATGTTCCTTTGCTCATCAGCAGCAGTAGACACCGTGAGACTCTCAAGCCCACCTGTGTGACAGGGAAAGTGGTTCATGCTCACACCAGCACAACGTTTTTAATTGAATTATGTTCCAGCAAACTGGATTATTCTTAAATCTGAGTCATGTGGGCCATCAAGCTTTAGGAAGCATTCACTTGATGTGCACCAACATGCTCTACAAAAACACACCGTCTGTGACAATGCCTGTGCAAAACACGATAAACCAGTAAATGCTGAATTCACCTTTGACGAGATTGATGATTACACTCTATAATGGAGTGCAATCAACTTCCTGTTTGCCCAAGAAACCAAACACAAATTAACTAGAAGAAGTATGAGGTGTTGCTTGTACTGTGTTTTCCGGGAACTCCTTTTTATCAAACCAAACAACGTGTTTATTCACGACTTGAACTGATTACAGCAGATAGCAGTAGATGGTTCAGGGTCTCCCAGAGCAGGCTGAACCACTATAAACAATCATTCCTGCTTATGCCTATTAAGACTCACAACACTAACAGGTAATCTAGGATCATGAGGGTTGTGGAATATGTCGCCACTGTCAGAAGGTGTGTCGCCTTGTGTGTACGTGCAAACTGTTACGTGCAAGCGGTGTTGTAGTATGATTTTATCCTCTGTGGAAGGCCAGAAACACATTTATCTATGCGGACATTAAAAGCAGAACTTATTTTATCTTTGCTGCTCCGGTCCACACGTTTATCAGGATCACAAGATCAGGCAGAAAACCACAAAACGCTTTTTATGTTCTTGCTGCTTAAATTAATCCAGGAAAGGCTGAGGAAGTGTTTGCAATTGAAGCACAAGTTCAAGCTTTCAATTGAGACAAACTAATTGAAGACATTTTCCTGTTTGATCTTTAAAAAATGTGCATTTTGTGACAGACTTGACTACCCGAGGAGGCCTTTAGTGTGCCAATAATGTGTTGTAAGTGGTTATATTATTGAAAACAAGCATGTATTTGCTTATTATGGATTTTGTATGTCTTTAATCAACCAGATTGTGTCTGCAGTACACAACAAAAGCATCTTTTAGGAAAGTGTCATGACAATGACATTACTGTGTTGTTCAACACTCGGATGTTTGACTGTGTAGCTGCCCGATGAGTCAATGAGAGACAGCGTCTGTGATGCAGGACCATGAATCTCTGACATACATTTCAAACACAAGCGGACACACGGCGAGGTTAAATTGTTTACATGGCTGTAAAGACACCCGCCTTCTAAAACAGGAGTGAAGTTAAATCTTTATAACATCATTTATCAATACAGCTGTTATTAAAAGTGTCAAAATAGCTCATGAAAGAGAGGCAACGGTTTATCTATAGATACAATTTATATATATGTATGTATATATATATATATATATATATATATATATATATATATATATATATACACATATACATATAATGCGGTTATGTTGACTGTATACATCTTTAAATTAGGTTTTTATTTGCCCACTTTTTAAATGTCTTTTTACTGCTATAATAGCGACAGCAAGGCGGTCCTCCACACCGTCCAACAGAAGCACAGCAGCGGTTATAAAAACTACTCGAGCCCGTGGTTTAACCAGCAGGCCTCTCCGCCTGACCTGTAATCTGTTTCTCTCTTCGAGCTCCACGGGAATAAATGCAGAAGTAAAAAACAACAACGTGGATGTATTTACCTGTCCGTGGTGGGTCCGTTAACGTGAGGACGAAGAGGAGAGAGAAGAGGACGAAACTGCTGCTGTCAGCCTTTGGCAACATTTATCCTCCATTCATAGTAACTCCTCTATCCAGAAAATTGTTAAACAAACATAAACTGAGGATCTGCGCCGCCGCCCTCCTCCTCCAGAGTTAACACGTTACCCCCTTAACACAGTTTGTACCCATTGTACGCACTCGGAGTGGCAGCTAGTGAAGACAAACCGCGTCTATAAAGCATAGTCGCACCGCACAGCGACACAGATTGTGCTTAATCTCTCCGAGCAGCTAACGGTAGCTGACTGGCTCCGCCGCGCGCGTCGTCAGTCCTCTCAGCTCCGCTGATCCAAGATGGCCGCGGCCTCCCATCACAACAATCCCAAACATTCACCACAAGCCTGTCAACTGGAGGAGCTGTCGGGGCGGAGTTAAACCGCTTTTACCCAGAGAGACACACGATAACCAGCGCGCGTGTGTGTGTGTGTGTACCCGTAGAGAATATTATGAGATGAATCCAACACAACACAACAAAATATGATCAGTGACCGTGAGATGGCATCGACGCACGAGCGGCGCTGATGACTGGCGCAGTTTATCATGCAGCATGATGCGAAAGGGCTGTTTATTTTTAGTTTATTAAGCATATCATAAGACTTTGATGAAATAGTATTGTACCAATTTTAAACAAATTATCATCCATTAATCCAGTTAAAAAGATATTTATTCTAAAACCAAGTCAATCTAAATTATTTCACTCGAAGCAATCGTGCAATAAGATTTGCCTTTCTCTTAAGAAAATATTTGTACTAAAATTGCATAAATATGCATTTCTACCCTGAATGTTATGTGAATATAATTTCCTTTATTTCATGGTATCCTTGAGAGATAACCCATGGGTCAAACTCCAAGACGGCAATGATCATAACAATTGAGTCCGTGTCTCTGAGGGAATTGTATGGCTTACTTTTGTTATTATATTGGAAAATATATCTAATGTCTGAACACCCGTTTCCAGCTTTAACTACAGCACATAGCACACATGATGTGGTACGGTCCAAATTAAAGTGGGCACATTGACTTTGACATAAACATGCATATCAAACATTTACTGTACTAAAAGCATAGGTTTGTGTAAGTATAATGTCCACAACTAAATCCTTATTATATCAAGCTACTGTGTGTGTGTGTGTGTGTGTGTGTTAGAGGACCTGTAACCCCTAATGCTCATTAAAACTCAACAAAAACACAATACCAGACTTATTTAAACACAGTGTGACTCGGACTACATTTGAAGCTTTGTTCACCCACCAGTAGGAGGAAGAATAGATCTATTAAGGATGTCAAGGTATTCAATTCTTTTGTAGACCTTTTCTTTGTCAAACGTGTCCAGTTTTTATTTTAGAGTTTAAGAAAAAGGTTGTACAGATTTATAATGCTGAGCCCAGCTCTGCCTGCACATTTTTTTTTCCCAATATAGGGAAAAGAGAAACACATTTTTCTTCATTTTAAACACCAACACAATTGTTTGACATTGGGTTTGAGTCATTTCTATGATGCAGAGACACTGAACATGTCATGGCAGCATGTATGGAGAGCTGGGCAACAGCTATTGGATGAAATTATTAAATATTGGATTAGAAACAGCTACTGGATTCTATGCATATATTTACATCATTTAAGCTGCTGTGTGTCACGGATACCAAACATTTGTTAGAGTGGATACAGCTGTACAAAAATCTATGAAACAAAATTAAAATAAGAACATCAAGTTGTACAATATAATTTGAACACTGTATTTAGCAGGGACCTCTATTAACCCGTCTGCTCAAAAATAGAGAAAACTTCTTGAAAATGCTTCAGTCCTGTGTGCATTTCTTTCTCCAGTCATCCGACTGAAAGATGTGCTCTGGACAGTTCAAAATCAAGTTTTCCACGTAACATATCTGTTTTGTACAATCCCAGCAGAGAACAGCTTCTCTCACTCAGAAATAATCGGCGGCTTTCCGTCTCTTGGGAAGTTGCAGCAGATTGTCTGTCAGGGACGTCAGGTCCTGAGAGCTCGGCGTCTTGACTTTAGTTGGCGTTGGCGTTCCCGTGGGAGTGGACGGGCCGCCGAAAGGAGACTTGCAGCCGGGGACTTGATGTGAGGGAGACGGGGTGTAACTCGCCCGTAAAGCTTTGTCCGTGTATTTGCTGGATGTCCGATTTACGAGCCTCTGCAGGGCGGGGGTGAGGGCTGGGCTCAGACCTTTAGGAGTAAGACTGCAACAAAAAAAGTTCAGTTAAGAAGAGTATCCTTGTCCTTCACAACTGCACTAATGAAAAGGAATCAAGCAGCATGGAATAGTTTAACAATCAAGAGGGCAGGAATGTCTTTACCTTGCAAGGTTCTCCGTGACCTTTCGGAACGCCTCCTGTTTCTTTGCGCGGTTTTTAGCGGCGGCTTCATTGGCCATCTTTAAACCCAGCCTCTCTCGTCTTCCTGGTTCTGGAATCTTTTAAAACACATATTCAACGTCAACATTTTACAACAAAAACAATCAATGATTAACAAAGAGTTAGCTGCCGCTGGAGGTTCAGTACCTTAAATGATGGACCATGATTCCTCTCAATATACGGGCTGTCTGATCCATCCAGACGGAATGGGGTGCTCTCAATCTCACCCCAGGTCATCAGAGGCGACTCAGCTACACCTGAGTGGACAGAAACGGCTTTGAGATCTCTCCTCCAAATGTAAGAAGGTTGCTGAATGAGCCATACAAGGCACACACATTTAGTTGGATCTGTTCTCAGGACTGTTGCTGAGAGCCACTCACCAGGTGCTGGAGATGGCATACTTTCAAAACCATATCCATTTACTGTCGGGGAGTCGTGTGGGATGAGCTCTTTCCCATCAGGTCCTACTTTACCCTGTTTGAACTGGACAGAAAACACGACACATCAGCTACTTGAATCAACGCTTTTATTCAACTGAAGAATAGACCGCCACGTATCAATGTTTTTCATACATTCTTATAACATACCTGTGCATTGAGGGCTGCCGCCTGCTGAATCTGGCTTTTGTTGAGAGCTTTGCTGAATGGGTCTCCAGCAAAGCGCGTGTTCTTGTGAATGACCTCCCGCGGCTTCTTAAATAGATCGTCGTCTTTAACACCTGATTAAGTGAAAACACACGAACATGTATTTTTCTTTCACAGTGAAATTACCTCCAGTAGGGATTAATGCCACATAAAGAAAAGAAGGAAATCCACGTTTGGCGTTCTTACCCTCTGGATAATACATCAAGGCGTTCTTCGCTTTGTACTCCCACGTCTCCAGTCCAGCTTTGACACATTCAAGTGCTGCTTTCTCTGCCGATGGTAACATAAGGTTCTCTTCGTGGCGCTGCAAAAACATCAGAAGTGTTTATAAATGTAGTCTAGGGGTGTACCGATACTTTAATAGCTGTCTGACATAAACATAACATGCACCAATTTGGTCAAAGGGAATGTTATTTTCACCTGTAATCCAAACATATCATTCCTTTGCTTTGAATTGAATTTAGTTTAACTCTGCACACACATACCTGTTTGTATTCAGCCTCTGCCTCATATAACCAGGAATGCCTCAGCCTCTCCTTGTCCTCTGCCAGATCCATGATCTGCTCAAAGGATGCGTTATCCTCACTGGTATTTTTAGCGAGGAAGCGATCCAGAGCGGGCAGCTCTTTCTCTTCCTTGTCATCATCCTTGCTCTCTATAAGTACAACATCAACAGGAATAGGGTTAATGTACTTGTGAGTATTTGTAATTGCATTCGTTAGGAGAATTACGGACTAAACATGGTTTCAATAAGACACAGATCTGGCGTGTGTTGTCTGTTCATCTTCATCTTAATAAAATAGATACTTACCCCCGTCTAAACCTTTACCGCCATGACTGGAGGAGGGAGACCCTGAGCGGCCCAGTGGTGTCTCAAAGCTTGCAGGTGTCACATCTTACATACAAAGAGGAACAAATGGGAAGAAAATAGGCGTGAGGTATTCTGTAAACAAGGTATAACAACATGAAAGTGCAGTGGTCTATTTTACTCCTCGTACTACTCACAGGGTGCAGAAGATCTTGGGGTAGATTTGGTCAAGGACGATCCATATCGGATGGATATCTCTCTCATTCTTTCTAGGTCACCAGTTTCCTCCGCGTCAAGGTAGTCCTTCTGCGCTTGCAATTTAGTCACATCTGGGAAGAAGTCCCTCTGGATGATCTTTTCTAAACTCTGTAGAAGTAGACAGTTGGGTTTATTTGACTTTGTAATGTTGGTACAACAACAACAACGACGAAGAACAAGTGTAGAATTGACATGTATATCTCAGGTAAGTCTGGTATTTTCATGGATGCCTTTCTGTTGTCTGTTGACCACCGATAGTTCGTCACTAATTGTCTGGTCATGTATCTACCTCAATGTACTCCTCTTCGTCGAGGACCTTTCTATGCAGCTTCCCCTTGTCGTTCTCCTCGGGATGTTGTTGTAGGAGAGCCATTGTTGACACTGTGACAGGGACAAGAGTCCCGCACAACGCTCTCCTCACGCTCGCGCTGCCCTCCATTGTAGACCGTTGTTAGCCTGCTAGGCTAATGGTTTAGCTTCAACGAAAAACCGCGTCTGAATCGAAACGGAATGCGGCTTTATGAACACCGTGTAAGTATTTAGAGCGAACAGTTTATATCTAGAAATCTAATACTACGCGAACATCACTAACTGTTACGTTAACTAAGGTTAGCTACCGTCGGCTAACTTCAGAACCAGCGTACAAACAACGCACTACGTAAAGGCTACAATCTGACGTTTTACGTCACCGGAAGTTTACTGCCTCTCAGGAAAGTTTCAGAATAAAATAGAAAAGGACATTTCCGGTATAATAATAATAATATTAATGATATTCATATTTATTATTATAATACTATTTGTAGGTGGGGATGGGAGATGACTTCTTGTTTAACTTTTAGAATAATCTAAAGTTAAAAAGTTGTGTTCTTCAGTGTAATCATAATATTTTAGAAGAACGTGTTTTTGTGTTCTTAGGTCAGATAGGCGGCATTGATATTACTATATATACTATTTGTAAAGGAATCTGTGGTTATATTTTATTAAACATACATTAAATACATGCTTGCTTTCATTTTTTAATATTAACAATAATACTACTACTAAAAAATATTCTATAAAGATAAAATAACTATTTAAACAATAATAATACTGCTATAAAAGATGATGTATCTACCAGGCAATAGCCAGAGTTTCACTCTGATCCCTGTTATCTACCCACACAGAATAATTACTATATACTGTATATCCTAACCCAAAATTGATCATGTGATCCCCACTAATAATCTCCTGAGCCCCCAAAAATGTACGAACTGATTATTTTCTTACACACAAAACTGCGTGTAAGAGTTTTTGAGCAAAAAGTGAAAGATGTTCAAATACAGTAAAATAATGAAGTTCTATCCTGACGTGTTCGCTTCATGTCAGCTTTTAAATTGTTATGATGCCCAACTTAGATGTGTTATAGCTTGTGTAAAAAAAAATAGTTCCTCCTCCTCTCTCAAAAGAACTTTATTTATTCACAAGGACACTTTTTTTCACAACCAGTGCAAATGATAGCAAATTCCAGATTCCAGATGTATCTCAGATTAGTATTAGCATATACTGAAAGTCCTTTGAGCTTGCAATCAACCAGATTCACAAATAGGCTACAAAACTGTCACATGATCTGACAGATACAATATAGCAATAATATAGCTATTATATAGCAATAAAAAAATCATTTTATTTATATAACTCAAGCTCACACACATACACGGCTCTCTTCTTTCTCACTGTTGTGGTCCATATAGTACAAAGTTTAGTTTTCCGTGTCTCCCACACAAAATGATATTCTTTTCTGACGCCTCCACTTTGCTCTTCGGTTTTTAAACCAAACCTACCGTTGAAAAAAAATCATGTTATTTAGTTGTGATTTTTTTTATTTGGCACATTATATATTTACATTTAAATAAACAACAACATTGGCCATCATTATCAACACAGGCATATAGTTATATATGTCAAATTGATTAGAGCGTAGGTGAAATTTAGTGCTATCATAATAACACTGAAATAAAGTGTTTAAACTTGCACACATCTTTAGGAATGGCCCATCTTCCATTAGCTGGCACAATATGTTAATAAGTTGGAGCAGTCTGAAACATATCTAACCCTGTATCACTGTGAAAACATGACTATTATTTGTTGAGAGGCTGAAAATGACAGGCTTACCTCTACTCTTTCTTCCCTTAAGTGAGTATGCTGTGCTAGTTTCTCCCGTGTGGTCACATCTGGATACTGGTTTTGCAGGAACAGCTCCTCCAGTGCATCCAGCTGCTCCTCTGTGAAAATAGTGCGATGACGCCTGGTCCGCCTCTGCACCTGACCGGGCAACTGCTCCTCCCTGTGAGCATCTCCCAGCCTGCACGGGTCTGTGAGCATCGCTGGGGGCCATCCGTACTGACAGGCTGCAGGGAGGAGATCTGATTTTAGGTGAGGGTGCAAAGTAAACGTTACCGTTACCAGTTTAAAACGTGTCAACAGAAGTGACTCTTCTCATGAAGAGAATGGTTCTTGGTCTTACCTTCATGAATGAAATCAGCCTGGTAAATGTCTCCACAGTGGGAGCAGTAGCAGCAGCACAGGCAGGTGTGATGCATAGCCTCCATCTGACCTCCGACAGGACTCACTGCCCTCTCTTTTAGTCCAGCGCCACTTTCTCCACATGACCATCTGTCTCCATTAGTGTTGGGATAATTGCTCAGTATGTTTTCAATAGTGAAAGGAAACTTTTGTCTCTCTATCCTGATCAGTCCATCCATCCCCAAAGAAATTCCAATAAAACACAAGCTGCAATGATCGCAGGATATTGACACACACAGTTCAGGCTCAGCTGCTCCTCTGCTTCTCCTCTCTGCACAACGGTGTGTCGGGTCCTTATAGCGAAATTGGGAGGCAAAAAAGAAAAAAAAGAAAGTAAAACTATAATCCCCCCTGTGGACCAGACACATAAAACGGTTGAAACTTAATTCCTAGCTAATCTGGGCAGTTTTGTGAAGAGGTTAGGGAGGACGGCAGATTCAGTTAATCTTGCCTCTTTCCTTTCTCCAAAAGAAATCAGATTTCACTGCATAAAATGAGAAGTGGAGAGCTCCTAAGATCCTTATTGTTGGGGTTTTAGAGAAAAGGGGATTGCTTGGTATTAGAAACCTGGATTTAAAGATAAAGGCTTTTTTTTTTTGGTGTGGCCAGAGACTTGTGTTATGCTGAATTTGAGGATTAGCTCTGAAATTTATTTCATAATGTCGCTTTCCCATTTAGCTTTATCAACGAGTGATCAGGCTGCACTGACAACAACAACACTAATTAAGCATACTAATTACACACAGTTGGATTATTGACTCATCTTGCTAGCGATGTGTGGTGACACTAATAGATTTGTATGTGTTATTACTCAGTACAGACAAAACCAAAAGCGGTAAGAGTAAATTCAGAAAAGGGTTACCTCCATGTGGTTTGTATTCACAATCATGCGTCATGTGTCTTATCTGTGCGGTGCAGTCTTTCATCCTCACTTCTCTGACATTGTCCACAGCTGATGTAAAGCTATTACAGGTTAAATTCATCCCCCGCAACAAATCCTGTGATTTCATACAAGGTAATACACCTTCTTTTTTCAGAGAATTAATGGATTTCCACAATCTGTCTTAAGCTCCTCTTATAAGGGCTTTTGAAAACAGATAACAATAAACACCATCCCATCCTTTTCACTTGGGTTTAATAGCGTCCGGATTGTTGATGTATAGTTTGCGGAGCATGTGAGATCGCAATCTAGCAGATATTGTGCTCCTCAATAGAAGCAATTTTATCACATCCACATTGGTTCAACCAGTTAAAAATTCATTACTGGGGATTAGAATGATAAAGGTTCATTTTGTTGTTGTAAGAGCAATATTTGGCACAAGAGGTAAAGTTAAGAAAAGCCACCACCGCCCACATGGCTGATACAGTTTTTCTAGATGTTTTGCAGAGCTGCTTGGATGGCTCTCTTCAATTTAAAGTGATTTTCACCTGTAAAACTGTGGCGCATTACTACCCGACCAATACACAACCTGAAGCGACAAGATGGACAAAACTGAGCAGGCCCCGAAACAAAAGTCAACCAAAAAACAGTTCAGATAAGGTAAGAAGACACGAGGTAAAAAACAATTGAAGACAGTAGGCTTATATTTCTGAAAAACATTACATTGCTATAATTCCAAATTTCAATTGATAAAGGGCACACATTAAACCAGTACAATTCAGACAGCAGACACAGTATTACAAATTCTCTTACTGATGATAAATAAACAGAGAACCCCACATGGCATCAGACTGTTCCCATGTGAACAGTGTCTCTGCACAGTGTCTCTGTTCTTTGCTGGCCCGGGGCCCAAATCCTCCTGGGGAATCACAGATTGCAGCTGTGAGACCAGCACATGCAGAGGATCAACCTTCCTCCCTGTTTACTCCAGACTTACTTATGCATGAACTGTTGAAGGCTCAGAAAATACTTGTCAGATAGTGATACTTCTAATAGCTGCATTAATACAAATGCCATGTTTCTCTCTCCTCGTGCCCTCATTTATTTTGCCTATAGAATCTGAAAATGAGCTCTGGGATCTGGTGCGTCATTGTCGGGCTTCAACATCACCCTGCAGGCTCTATGAACTAAGGGAAATTTGTTTTGTTGAACCAGTATGTTTATGGTTCCGATCTTAAATTCAACCCTTAGGATTTCTGTTCTATTATGTAGAACTATGTTTGTATTTAGTTGTTCGATGCAACAAAATCCATTTTAACAATCGTCACATCATCACATGAATAGCCTGCTTCACAATTCTGTCTCTACCATCTTAAAATGTAAATATCGGTGCGTACAACAGGGAATTTGAAAAGGTAAAACATGTGTGAAATGTAGGCTTGGTGTGACTTACTAATTATTAATTAAACTGCAAACAGATTCCAACAATGAAACCATTCTATTTTAGATATGTCATGCAGAAAAAAAGATGTTTAGGTTTATGTTTGCACCCCAGGGTGCTAGCTCCAAAAGCTGAAATGACTCCTGTCATCCTGTACCTGCTTGTAATGGCAAAAAGCAGCAAAGGAGGCCGATGCAGAGTCGTGCGCCCCCCTGCGACAAAAGACTACAATGCCCACCGTTGAACGGCGGAGCGACACAGCGCGGCAGGCAGTCCGCCACTCGCGATAACTCGCGTTGAGGCAGCAGCTGGGCGGAAAAGGCGGGAGAAGGCTGCCGCTTCCGCGTCCGCGCACAGGCACAACACTGGGGCAAAATGGACGATAAGTTAATATTGGCCGTATTTAATTATCCAGAGCTGTACAATGTCACTTTACCGAATTACCGCTGCACGGAAAGTCGGGTGAACGCGTGGAGAAGCATCAGTATCATACTGGGTCTCCCATGTGAGTATTTGATTGTTTTTTGTTTATCACAACTTTACCAGCCAGTTATTTCCTAGCCGACGTTGTTGCGGACGATTAAACCCGCATACACAACAAATCATCATGTGCGTCTGGGAGTTAGAGGTATTTTAATCATGTCTTGCAGGCAATTTGAGGCTTTTTTTGTTGTTGTTTTGTGGTATCCGCGCGAGTACAGCCTGGTGGTGAAGGTGCAGCCGCGCGCACCGTGCTAGCGGTAGCAGCCGCAGCTCGCACGCTGTAGGCCGCGCTGCACCGAACGGCACGGCACGGTCCGGCTCTGTCACTGCGCCGCCGGCCGCGTGTCTAACACGGCACGGCGGAGGAGGAAACATGCGCAGCGTCACGGACTGCATTTACCAAGCTTTCCGACTCGCTCGTAAACGCAACGAGCGCCATATAAAACAGGAAGCTTGTCGAAGTGTCGTGGAAGCGGCGGCAGAACCACGGAATGTTAAAAGATAAAACATGTCGGAGCCAGGCCCCCCCCCAGCCTGACATATATTCAGAAACATGGAGTCATGGTGAAATATGACGAGGCAGCATATAACACGGATGAACCAACAGTGACCTCCAAACAAGACTGACATTAAGATAATTACCTCGAGCCTTTCTTTATGTGACTTTTTACAGACTTAAAGACAAATCATTTATCCACATTTTAACTTGGATAAAGTTGTGTTTTTGCTATATTTTTTTGTATACCCTTTTAAATGTTGCATGCATTAACCAATACACTGCCTGGCCCTTTAATCAGGTAGAATACAAACATATAATACAATACAATCCAACAAATCATATAAGGCACATAGTCTATATAAAGAGGTGTCAATTCAACTAAATGATGAGTTCAGTCTAAGCCAAATAGCACAGCATATAATCATCAAAACATTCTAATGTTCCAACTCATTTGTTGGAAGAATTTTTGTTATTGTATAGTAAATTAAATATATTTGGGTTTTGGACCAGAACAAGCAAACTAAACATGTCTGCTTGGGCTACAGACAGAACAATGACTCAGCAGAAGAGCATGTTTCTCACAAGACATTTCAGTGTCTGCACCCATCTAACATCTGTGCAGCAGACTGCTCACCTGCACAACATTTTTGAGAATGTATTTTAGGGGGAAAATAGTTTTTTAAAGAATTCAAATTAATATGTGGTAAATGTTTTCATTTTGTTGAATGCCTAGGTTGCTGACTTTCCATGTTCATTGCATCTTTTTGAGATTTCTTGCCCCTAACACTGTTTCACTTTTCCAGCCGAGGAGTGTAAAAGAAAATGGAAGAACATGAGAGACCGGTACTTGAAGGAAGTCCGGATGGAGATCAAAAGCAAGAAACAAGGAGAGATCATGCAAAGCAGATGGAAATATAGACAACTAATGAATTTTATCGCCCCCTTCACTGGATCGAGAAGTGGACTGGCGGACATCTGCGGTAACAACGGCGATGACCACGATAATCCTGACAACGAATCCGGCAGTGTCGAGGGAGAAACCTCGTCATCTGAGGCAGTCAAGACGCCGCAGTCGGCCACGAAGGCCCCCGCAAGTCAACCCGACCTCAAGCCCCAGGTAGCATTCGTGACGCAGATCCCTCAAGACACACAGATGTCCCTTCTGGCCAAGATACCATCGAGCCCGCAGACCGCGGCCATCAGCAAAACTGGACGAAAACGGCGCCTGATGCAGGAGTCTCTTTCACCGTCTTCTTCTCAAAGCGCACTGTCTCCCACCAAGTGGCTGGTCAAAGACAATGGATCCTCCTTTCCCAGCAGGCCGCGGGACGAGGACGAACTGTTTCTGCTGAGCTTTGTCCCCGCTCTGAAGAGGCTTGCGCCGCAGAAAAGGTGCGAGACGAAAATAAAGATCCAGCAGATTATGTATGAAGCAGAGTTCAACGTTGCACAGTCCGCATCTCAAGAGAAACAGACGACGCCGTCAGCGCAGGACTAGGCCACACGGACTATTTTATACTTTGTGCTTTATAAAAACCTCTTCCACAAAATGACCAAAAATATATTTTTTTTTACTGTACATCCTTTTTGAATGTGAAATTCTAACAATGAAGAATAACTAAACTTGATTTGCATATTTAAGTATGGCTCGCGAGCAAAGGAAGCCCTAACATATTTACACATTAATAGGACAACAGACAGACTATGATTAACATCTTTATTTACATTGTTTTACTGTCAAAGTGAATTCACATTTAGAAAAGTGGTTTCACGTTGAAACAATCTTCATTTAAGTAATTATTCTTTAATAATCTATAGTATTTTTACATTTAATTACAGTAATAGAGCAAAAAATAAAGTATTAAATGGTGAAAGGAACACCATTTCATAAATGAACTGCTGACATGCATCAACACATTTCTTTTTAATCTGAACTAAAATAAAGAGACATTTGTTTTGATTTTGGTCAATTTTTGATGATCATGTGTAAATTTGTAAGGTCAGGTGGAGCTGGATTAAAAACTAAATTGTTAGTACATTAGTGGTCAGAGAGACAACATGGAGCCACACGCTCGTATTCAGAGTAACTCAGAGATGTTTTGCAACAAATAAAATAATTATAAATACAGGCTGAAAGGAAATAACCATATACAACATACGGGTTTAGAAATCCAAATTGATGAGCACAGAGCACTGGTTGGTCTTTTGTTTAGCAGAGTATATCTTTAAATACGGTGATGGTACCAAAACAAAACTCAAAAAGAGACCTGCACATCCTGTATGTGTCTGATCAAAACAACAACAACAGAGAGACAGACATGTTGAAAAGAGCAGCATGTAGTTTGAAGCCAGTAGCTGGTGGAGTTCAGGTGTCTTGTTTTAGTGTGCTGCTTTTTAAAGCAACTGTGTTAATGAATCAAAACTTTAGGCACCCACATTCATGTGGTTCACTTTGAAAGTTGTTATCTTGGGATTAACATCCAAAAACCGGCTTCATTAAACTCTTACATGGCTTTGTATCAAGAAAACAAATAAAATGAATGAAGTTACCAGAAATGAAGCAGAATCACATTGGTGCAAACCGTGATGATGTGTTATAAATTTGCATCTCTGTCAAATTATTTGGGTTGTACTAAGAAGTCTTTCAGTGTATTTATGCAATCAGCAGCCAAAACATAATGACCAGAGCGACAAACAGGAAGAGTCGAGACAGAAACTGTTCGTCCGTGTGCTGCGGTGTCCCCGGAGCTGCTGTTTGGGAAATTGTTTAACATAAGTTATTTAATATATTGTTGATAAAAGAGAGATGATGGTGAAACAGAAATACCTGGAGGTGGTCTGCCGTCGTTGATGTTAAAAGCCGTCGCAAAAATACCAAATGGAAAGGCACCGATTCCAAAGGACATTTGGAAACCTCCATCTCCGAAGCCAAACCCTTGGAAGCCCTGCGGATCATGTATTTCATCATTTACACGAAGACGAGTGAGTGAGATGTGACGCAACAATCCGTGAAATTTGCGATCATTCTCAAGAGACGTCTGCACACCTCGGCACTTAGCGTCTAATAAATCCCAGAGGGAAATGTTCCTTATGTTAATGGATAAAACCTACATCATCCTCTGTAACGGTTTCATCATGAACGCATGTCAACAGCGGACACTGAAGACTACATACAGCCGCCAACTTTTTACTATTTAAAGTATACTTGTACAAAGTACTTACACCACGGTTTTCTGGCTCCGGCCTTTGTCCTTGTGGTCGAGGCGGGGTTCTTTCTCTGTAAAACAAAACCACGTTTTGTAAAAAGTCATGCATTTATAACAGCTTTGAAAAACCCATTTAAAGTTAGATATTATGTGTGTTGTGATTACATAAGATATTAAGTTTAGAGTCACTGAAGAACCCACCTGGGGTCTTGTTGACCGGTGCTTCCTCTTCCATATAAAGGGATTACTTTGTCTCGGCTGATGCCCGCTTTACACACGGGACACACTTGTCGGTTGGGTCTGGTCTCCAACCACTGCATGAAGACAAAGAGACACTTAGGACCTGACCCGTCTGCTTCAGTTAAAAACTATCAATAAGAATGTGTGTCATGTGAAAACAGACAGCTTACCTGATGCAAGCAAGGCCAGCTGATGGAGAGGAGGTGAAAAGTAAAGTAAAAGTTGACAAAGAAGAGGTTTGATTAGTAAAAGATCATGTAAAATATACATTTACTGGGAAAAAAATGGCACCCATGTATCAGGTGTTCACGAATGAAAACAAAGCATCACTTCACTAGTGAAAGTTAAGAGTGAGCACAGCTTCTAAAGAAAAAGGAAGAAAAAATGGCTTCCTGTCAAAGGGATTCAACTTCTCTTTGAAAATGAAGAACTAACTTGTCTCTCTCCTGTAATAATTTGTGAAAACAAACATTGCATTGATTCTAGAGAAGCACTCATATGCCTGGTGGTTAGACCTGGCTTAGTTAATGCCCTGACTAAATTAGATGATAATGCTTTCTTACCAGAAGAGGTGTCCACACAGGCTGATCACTGCGTCCTTAGCGGTGTCCAGACATATATTACACTCGAACGTGCTGTCCTGGTTGCCACTGTCGGCCGGAGTCGAGCTGCTGGATCCGGGACTTGTGTTTTCAGTGGCCGCAGTAGAGCCCGGGGCTGGAGGGGGGGCAGCCGTGGCCATTTAAAAACAAGAGGTGGGGGGGGCACCCAGCACTTCAGAATATTCAGAATAAGTACATAGGGAGGCCCAGTGTTTGGGGGGGGTTATAGCTAAGAGAGTAGACGATGAGAGACTGAGCGTATTACCAATAATTATCTCAAAAAAAGGAGTCAAATCGAGTCAAATCAACCGACTGCTAGCTAACGCTAGAGCTGCTAACGTTAGCTAGCGGATAAGACTGAGGACAAACAACTGTTATCGTCAGACAGATTAGCCGACTACAAAGTGACAAACGGCAAATACAAAACTGCTAATCCAAAGTGTCGTTCCGAACGTGGTTTTCTAAGTGAAAATCAAAAACTTGTAGCGAGAAGTTGCGAGATATCCTTACGTTTGGTTGCATCACACATCCGCAGCGTTAACGTTAACCGGTAGTACATACTGGGGGAAGGCAGGGGGCGGGGCCACAGATGTAGGGGATGTTCTGTTGCTCTCAGTTAGGCCTATCAGGTGCCCACGACAAAGGATCCACCAATCAAACATCAGTATTTATTAAAAGTTTTAAACCATGAATGAACTACTTCCTTCACATATATTTTTTCCATTTTAATCTAGAAATTGAATAAGAACATGTTTGATATATTCAATTTGCTTAAAATAAAACAAGTAGAACAATAAAATACAACAGTAGCCTCCTATTGGCTCGTAGGGCTACATTTAATCAAAGGAAAGTTTTACATTGACAGAATTTACAGAATAGAATAAAGTTACAACAAAGTAAGTATATCATTCATTAGTTTACTTTCTTTTGAAAATGTAACTATGCATCAATTACTAATTACAAGATTAAGAATACAGGTATTTGTTCATTCCAGTGTTGTGATGTTGTGACTGTGTTTTAGTTCACAGTCTCTAAACAACCAAATTCTAATACATTGTAAAAGATTAATTCAATTTAATTCAAAATAGTATGCTTTACTTGTTCTACAAGAGGCAATTTAAAGCAAGCTGGTTTGCAAACATAACAATAAACAAGCAATTCATTCACACTCACAATCCAAACACAAACGAAAAATGTATGATTAAAGTCTGTGGCTGATCTATAGCTGACCAACACAGTCATTGATACATGAATATACAGTATACACAGGTAAAACATGCCATGACATATGATTTTGTCAACATCACCCCGCTCTATAATCATGTTCTGTATTGTGAAATACTCCTTGTCATTAATGACAAAGGTTTCAACTTAATTTTTGCCAATTTCCATTGACTTAGACTTTGAGTGATTGAGACCAACTGTCCGTAAATCCTCCGCCATTGCTTCTTCTATCCTTGATGTCAAAGACCTCTTTAGGATTTGTTTAAAGTCATTACCAATGAACACATAGAGAACTGGGGATATGAAGCTGTTTGCTGCGGCCAGGGTGGTCCCCACCTTCAGGCCAGTTTTCAGTACTTCCACGCTGTGGTTCTTCAAGTCTGACTCCGAAAGAACAAAGCTATGATAGGGGACCCAGCAGATGAAAAATGACAAGATGAGTGCCACCATGACTTTGTAAGGCTTTGTTGACTTCATGGTCAAACGTCTCAGCTTCACACAGAGCACCGAACTGCAGAACACAATCACTAGGAAAGGAATAAGGAATCCGCAGATGAATCGAGTCAGGACCACCGCCTTGTGTCTGGAAGGGCCCATGTAACTGGTGTGGCACTGAGTGACTGAGCCGCGGACCGTGGTTTGTCTGAAGATCAGCGAGGGCAACGTTAGGAGTGCAGAAAGGACCCACATGAGGACGACAACTCCAAATGCTTTCCGCACCGTCCGGTGGTTATGTGACCACACGGGAAAAGAAATCATGATACAGCGATCAACACTGATCAGAACCAACAGAAACACATAGCTGTACATGTTGAGAAAGAGGGCAGAGGAGGTGACCTTGCACAACACCAGTCCGAACGGCCAGTGTGAGGTGATCATGTAGAATACTTCCAGGGGCAAAAAGGCACAGAACAAAAAGTCTGAAATGGCCACACTGAGGTACCAGGTGGTGATGACGGTTCTCTTCATTTTCCAAAGACAAATCCAAATCACTAATGAATTTCCTACAAGGCCAATAACCGATATAAGGATATTGATTGCTACCAGAACATGAGACAAAGAAGACTGTGAACTTCCGAAAGGTAGTTCAGTTGTGATGTTGTTGTTGTCAGATTCATTGTCTGGAGTGTAATCCTCATATTCAATATAATCCACATCCATGCTGGTTACTCTCCCTGAAATATGAGGCGCAATATCTTTATTTACAAATACTTACACATAGATGATCACCACAGTTCACAATTGTCATCGAGAAATTATACTTTTTTCTATAAAATGTACTCATGTACTCACGTTATGTCTCGAAGCAGAAGCAATCACTTTAAAGTGCTGTCTTTGCTTCCTGCTGGGTGCAACTTCTCACTTCTGTTTCTTGGGCAGTGTTTCTGACGAAAGCAGAATCAGAATTGATATGCCATGGAGCAAGTGAGAGTCTGCCCTCCTCCCACTTACAAAAAACATATTTTATTTATTTTGGGTGAGACTATTTTCAGCTGTTTGAGTAGTTTAACTTAATCACAGAGGTCAAAACAACCACAGCAAATTATAATAAAGGTCTTACACCGGCCTTTAAGTAATCTGTTGCAATATCACAAAGGAGATCCCCTTCACAGCAAGAGACAAAAGCACCAGCTGACATCCCTGAACCAAGGGTGTGCCCACAACATTTTACCAGAAATGTACAAAACTTCGGTCAAGGCTGTTAAATCTTTTGTTGTAACTCAAAGAGAATGATTTTTTTTACTATAGATCTCTATCAAGAAAAATAAAAAGTAAAATATAGAAACATACACTCCATCCTGAAAAAAATCCCACATCAGATGTACCCATGCTAAGAAGTCACAATTAAAACAAATGTATGTGATAGCGAGCGTGCACTTAAAATATAGCACACATCTGTTCCCTGCTTGCTTTTAAAGCCAAATTGAGCATTTGTGAATATAAACATCCCTAATATGACTCACTTAAAAAATAATACTATACATAACTGACTAATAATGTATTACTAATAATAGTAATGCACCTCTTTTAACTTTAATAGCAGCATATAAACAGCCGATGTCTATTAAATGATTAAGAAAGCCACAATAAATGGCAGGAAGAGAGAGAAATGTATGCCTTACAGATTTTTAGACCTTCAATCAAACCTTTCATGTCACATTTTACGCTGACAGTGTTGTTGTAAGTTCAGTTCCCTAAAAATCATATGATGCAGTTATGTAACAGAAAAAAAGCTGAGTAAATAATTTTTCAGTCAAAGACTAATCACAAGGCAAGCAACTAACAAATCTGTGGGATTTTGTTTTCATAAAAACAGTCAATACTAATTCTCTGACGTCCATTAGTTTCATATGTGAGTTTTTAGATCTGTTACTGAACTAAAAGTAATAATACCATAATGTAGCCTACAATACACAATTACAAGTAAAAGTCCTTACATTCTCAGTTTGATCTAAATAAAATACATAATTATTATCGGTGTAATAAAAATATCTAAAGTAAAGGTACTTGTCATGCAGAATGGCCTACTTTGTAATCTGAATATCACAATGCAGTGTTGTTATGTTATTATATGCCTTCTGCGTTCATTTGAAGTTTTTAAGATAACTGCTGATAATTGGCTACATTACAGTACGTTTGACCAAGTACTGTACTAAGTACAATTTTCAGGTATTTGTACAAGGCCTACCTTAATAATTGCAATGTAATTTATACTGCTTAAGACATTTGAAGGCTCTGGGTGGTTATGTTGGGTACTTTTTAGATATTTTTTACTAATCGATTAATCAAAAAAAATAATTGGTTGCAGCCCAAATTTAAATAAAATATTTTCTCGTTAGGTTAATGACTGTTTACCATGGGGGTACTATATTAGAAAAAGATGTTTACCCTCCGCTGTTGCGCGTACACTGGACATGCGCAGATGTGATTGTTTTCGCCCCTCCCCTTACAGTGACGTATCCGTCTCGAGGCATCGCTATATCTTCCCCTCTATCAAACTGCGCCATTCTCCTTGACTATCAACATGGCGAGTACCGTGGCTAACAAGTGTCTCAGTCCTCTGGCTTTCATCACCAGGAGGCTCTCTGCTCCAGAGTTCATCACCCAGTGCTGCTACCACAAGAAGGTAAACATCTTTAGTCCGTTTCAGCGTTACTAAAGGAGGCCGGGGTCAACGCGTGCTAGCTGCTGTTTGGCTAATGTTTACAAATAATAGCATTAGCTTCAAGTAGTTCTAGCTTAATAAGAGTATCAGGAGTATTTAAGAGTGGTGACATGGTTAAGGTAATTAATTAAATGGAGCTGGTTAACCATGTAGCTAGTTTTTTATATGTATGTACAAATACACAAGGTTACATCACTCTGGTGTCAGGGGTTAAATGTCGCGTTTGGTGGTTATGAAACGTTAGCACTTTAGGTAACACTAGTTAGCATAAATTGTGTCATTCCTGCTGGTCAGTAAATTTGAAGACTTCACTAATCTGGCCCTCAGGGTGGCCATTGCCACCGCTTTAATACTTTAATCACATCCGATTAATACTCTTTAAGCAGTGTGATATAAACCTGCACATGTTCTGTTTGTGTACCTTCATCTTGAGTTTGCAGCATCTTAACACAGCATCCTTCTTCACCTGTAAGATCATAGAGATGTTTTATTCTACACCATAGAATGTGGATCACTTACTTTTGAGAGCAAACTTACTATAATTCTAAATATGTGTATGAAATGTAGTCCTTCTGGGATGTTTTGTGATACAAGCTGAGCCACTTCATATAGTTTGAATCAGAATGACTCGGCAGGAATAAGGGGGGGGGGGGGGGCTGGATGCAGGAGTTGATTTAGTTGACAATCCTGTCCTAATCTGTTTATTTCAATGTCTCTTGCGTAACGGTTAATACTTGTAGTTGTATAACAGTGATGCTCAAGACTCTCTTTCTGACTGTAGTAGAATACAAACCCCCTCCCAGGATGCTGTTGTTGTTTTACTTCATCACATTTATGTCAGTTTGACGCGTTGTTTTCGTTCCTAACAAAGTATTTCCTTTTATTTACTCTCTGAAGGTGGTGGATCATTATGAGAACCCAAGAAATGTCGGCACGTTGGACAAACGCTCCAAGAATGTTGGGACCGGTTTGGTGGGTGCTCCAGCCTGTGGCGACGTAATGAAGCTCCAGGTATGTTTGTCGCTAAGCACGGATGGATTACACCCTTTTTATACACACAGACATTAAGACCAGAATTATACCAACAAAGTTAAAAGTTGTTCTAGTTCAGCATTGCCATGAGGCAGTCATTTCCCATTGGGCATTTGAGTAAAACTTTCATTTTGACAGATTGAGGTGGACGACCACGGCAAGATTGTGGATGCCAGGTTCAAAACCTTTGGCTGCGGCTCTGCTATTGCCTCCAGCTCTTTGGCAACTGAGTGGGTGAAGGGCAAATCTGTGAGTTAATGCAGTACAGAAACTTCTTTCTGTGTGTCATGTGTTGCTTTTCCTATTCTTATTAATTCTGCTCTGCTCATATTTGATCATTTACTGAAAATTTGTGGTTAATCTAGCTGTGTGCTTTTCTCTCCAGGTGGACGAAGCTTTGCAAATAACAAACACTGACATTGCCAAAGAGCTCTGTCTGCCACCGGTTAAGCTTCACTGCTCCAGTAAGTTATCAGGGATTTGTTCCTTTCCAAACTTCTCCACACATGTATGTGTATTTAACGGATCTAATGGTTTCTCATCAGTGCTTGCAGAGGATGCCATCAAGGCTGCCCTGGCTGACTATCGCCTCAAGCAACAAGATGACCGGCAGGAGGCAGTCGGAGCCAGCAGTTAAATGGAGCGTGCTCACTCTGAGCCGGGGGCCACTGTTTGCGTCCTGATGTCAAGAGGAGAAGTAACAGTAGTCCAGAATCCTCACGTTCCTGCAGTATCGATGAGGCACACCTAGTATGTTTATGACCAGTACACTATTGTCATCCCTTAGTGTCACACCAGGCTTTATGTATTAGTCTGTGGTCCTTTTAACTTCGCATACTGCGTCTTCATAGCCTGTCATGTAAACGCACAATAAACACTGTTTGGGCTGTCGGTACAAAGGTGAGCCTTATTTTTGAGATTGTTATATTTTAAGATTTTGTGCTTGGGGAGAGTTTAGTTTGAGTGGTGTGATGGAGACGGGGATTAATGCTAAAGGCCGTATCCTATCTGCACCCTAAGCACTGAACTTTTGATATGCAATGAAACAAAGTGGCTTGAAACGATGAAGGGGTCCACTGGGTTTAAGTGTAATTTGATTATTTAGCAATAAAAGCATTCTGAAACCAAAACATTTCTCAGTCTGTTTTTCTATACTTTACTAATCTTGAACATGCAAAGTTACTGTTTGAATAAACACGGGACCATACCACACAATGTTTACATCTATGCAGGAATATTGAAGGAATTAGATGCACACTGAGCGAAATGTATTTGACAAAGAAATATTTTATACAAGATGTTAGTGAAGTTACTCGATGTTTATAATATGGTATGAAAGATAATCCAGTCAAAGCGAAGTAACATTTCCCTGCACTGAATATACATACACAAACTCACAGGATTGGAATTTAGCAAGCTTTCTGCATTTCTCTTGATAAATCTTTGCTTGACAAATTGCTACTCATGGATTCAAAGTGTTAAAAAACAATACATTCAGGTCACAGTGTTCAGAATAGTTAGAACGCAGTTTTGTCTCCTGCGATCAGCTGAAGTGTAGCGGAGTCATTGTGAATATGCAGAGAGGACGGCCGCAGACTCCTGCCAGTTAAAGGTTCCCGTGAATCATCTTCCTCTGGAGGATTGAGCTCAAGGCTTGCTCCTCCTCCTGCTGTTACAGCTGCACATGCTTCACTGTCAGGAAGCCCACACAGACCCTTTTCCTCAGGGAGACTTGGTAGCTGCTGGTCCAGGATGCTGCCATCTGGATGAGAGCTGTCCTCAGGACTGTGGTCTGCTACTTTCTGACTGGGATCACTTCCCTCTGCAGCATCAACACATTTATTTGGGGTGCGCAGCCTCTTGGCAGCCCTCATAATGTCTGCCTGCAGCTGCTTGTGAGAGTCCACCGCCTCACTTTCCTGCTCGGGAGCAGCTTTTTCTGGCACTTCATTAAAGACTTTAGCACCTCCGCTTTTGTCCCTGTGATCCACGTACATTTTTGAGGGGAAAGAGGAAGGGTAATAGGCATTGACTTTGCGCCTGCGGCTCATGATAATTGCCCCACAGATAAGAAGGAAGACGAGAAGGATGAAAGAGCCTGCAACAAGGATAAGGAGCATGTTCTCCTCCAGAAAGTCCACAACTCGATTCAGAAAGTCAGTTTCCACATGGGTGGGGCCAACAGGTGTGGTTTGGTACTCAGAGGAAAGGTTGCTGGTGGGCGGAGAGGAAGTTAAGATGCTGAGATCTTCCTCATCTGTACTTCCTTCTAGAATACTGTAAAAAGGTAGAGGTGTGGCCAAGCTGCTGCTGATGCAAAACACCACACACAGACCAATCAGATGAAGGCCCATCGGTACCATGGTTTCCCCTCAGGATCTGTAAACGACAGTCAGTAACTGAAATGTCAGTGTGAAGACAGTTTGTGCCACAATCATGTTGAGAAGCAATGAGCCATTGGGTGAAAACTGCCATGAACGCATCAAACCGCCAGTGTTTTATACTATACTGAAATGAGTCGACTGTTTACACATTCTGCACAGCGTATAGAGATAACAATGTAATGTAAGAACAAACTTACCCCATGGTATTGGCTAACAAATATATTTTTTAAATACCCAAACTATCTGTGGTTGTCCCACAAGGGGTATATTTTTCGTTTGGGTGAGCTGGCCCTTTAACACAGCTTTAGTTATTTATTTGGATCACAATCAGCTCACTGCTCAGTCTGTGTGTCAACTGGCCGCAGCTCTCACACTTTAATTCTTATTCTGCTCCATCTGTGTGCAAGATGGGCAACATGAGCCTCTGCTCTCATCTGGAAAAAGGGGGTTGGGAAGATTTTTTGTTTTTTTTAGAATTAATCACCCCCAAACCAAATATACATGGCCACACATGCCTGTGCACATAACACCATGGTCATATGCACACACGGAATTAATCTTCACCCGATCGATTTTTTGAATTACAAAAATGGGAAAAAGTACTATGACCTAGATTCTGTCTTCGCTCCACTGTGATGTCTAAAACTAACCTTTTAGTTGTCATGGCTTTAGGCTACTTCCTCAGGCTGGATGCTGCTCTGAAGGCATCATGATGCTGTCACATCAGCCACTTCAAATCGACATGTGAACTAACATCAAGAAAACTCAAAATGCCCAAAGAGTGAGCAACATCCAAAGGAAAAAAACTCTGAAATGCCAAAACATTTTACTCACCATCCACTGCAGCAGAAGAAGTGTGTCTGTTGAAGTTTTCTCTGATGGAGGATGTGTGAAACCAGTCTGGCGAAAGTGAACTGAGCGAGAGAGAGAGAGAGAGAGCGCGCACTGCAGAGAGTTGCAAATGCTCTGTGAGCCACACTACTTCTGCAGTTTCAGATTTCAGGCTGGAGGTCGGTCTGGTTAGTGCAACAAATTTTGTTCACCACGAGGACAAATCCCTCCTTCTGCCTCTCCACTGTTCTCCTCCCCCCTCAGCTTCCTACAGACTGTCTGGGCTCTCCGGCCTGCACACAGATTGTTCTTGTTAGGTAGAAGTCTGTAACGTGCTGTGGGGGCAGGGACCCTCTCCTCCAATCTCCTGTGTGGCTAAATGGATACGCAAGGCTAAAACAACACCGGCGGAATGAACTAAAACAACTTTACAACAATAAAACATCACAAGCAAACCCTGAAACATCATCATCTGCAACATGTGTTCTCTTTTAGCTCTCCATGATTTCCGTAGAAAGAGCCTCCGATTGACAGTCTGGCCTTTTCGTCAACCTCAGCCTCTGACACTGATGACTAACAGCAGGCCTGCTGGGGTGAAAAGAGTCAGAGAGTAGCAGCTTGTAAGAGTGACCAGCTAATGCAGGAAGAGGTTAATGTTTCCTGTGCAGACAGAACACCCGTAGCAGTCAGAGGGGGAATTTCACTCCACGGGCAAGCAATTAAACTCACACGGCATGTGTGACCACTTTAGGGAGAGTGTGACGGAGTACGAGTGAGCCCTACAAGTGATTTTTTTTTTTATAAGCACAAATGCATTTTTGGCAACTCTACTGTGTTTGTGATCAGTCAAGACAAGTCTAACTTTATATGGTCATCAGGAGAATGAAATGAGGTCCTGCTTCTCCAGGTTTACGTTTGTCTCACAGCTCTGTTGATAGTCACCAGTGTCTGTTTCAGTTGCACATAACTCAACGTGGAGAGAAAAAAAAACAGCCTTAATAAGCATTCAGGGCTCTGTTTTCTTTTCACAGGAAGGGAAGTGAATATGAAATCCAGTCCTGCGTAGAAGAAAAGCCTTTTATAAAGCCTGTCATAAATAAGGGAACTGACTTAGTCCACAGAGTGCTCAGTTGTATTGTGACTGTTTACCATTTAGAGACACAGGACATTCAACACCTTTAGCAAAATAGGAACAGAGCTGTCTTGTGTTTCACATGAGCTCTTGTGCTTGCAGCATAAAGTTTATTTGAATAACTAGATCTTATTTTGATTCTCAAAGTGAACAGCTATCTGTTTGAAGAAAGGACGACTTTGATAACCTTTTGCTAGTCCGTAATGTCAAATAATCATATTAATCAATTCCAATTAAATGCAAAGATAGTGTGACCAATACTCTTTAGATTTTTGAGTATTTCTTTTAAGGCAGTCTCTGAACTTTGTCTCCATCTAAAATGAGTAAAATAGAAATGATTAGGCGATAACAGACCTGTAAAATAAAGTGTAACACACTGTTAAATAAGACAAATTGGTTTAATAAATTATCACAATACAGAAGCTGCATCTAAACGCCTACACAAACAGAGTCGCATACAGTTCAACATTATTCAAATTACAACGTTTATACAATGAAGCCACAGTGCTACCAGGACACTGCTTGTAAACTGAGCGGTGTCTGCGAGGAACACTCATCCCTCGACAAAACAAGCCTTCCTGTCTCCCGTCGCTAAGTGAAATACCATCACGACTCCGCTCATCAGGATGTTCAAAAAAATTCTTTGATCCCTCTCTTCATCCTGACTTTGACTCTTGTGGAAGGCAAGTGTAGAATTACACAAAAAGTCTCAACTCTTTGCCCAAAATACACATTTGGTGACCTGACCTCACCAAACCAGCAGATACATTATTGGTTCATGGTTTTGGTTTGTGGATCTATGTCTCTTCCTCCGTAGCAATGGATTGTGCAGCGAAGCCAAACCACAAACTTCAAACGGGAAGCACGGCTTTATTCAAACAGCAACTGTTTCCGCTTCACTGACATTAGACAGGTCTGCAGACAATAATAATAATTCCATTTAAACATAGCGGTCATTTTCTGGAAGGAAGCTGCTGAGAGTGAGGTTATCTCCCCCGTCTTCATCGCTGTCTGCATCCCCGTGGATCACCAGCACTCCGTTAGTGACTGGATTGCGTTGTCTTGAGTAGGTGATATTCCTCTCAGGCAGCAGGGCCGAGATGCACATCATCTCTGTTGCCGGTTGAGTTTTTTTGACCTTGTACTTCCTTGATGACAGCTTGATGCAGAGGATGATGGTAGAGATCATGAAGACGGTGGCCAATGCAGCCAGGGAGGCGACGGCGATGAGGCAGTGCTTCACCAGGCGCCGGGTGGAGCAGGGTTGGACCTCGGAGCTGGATGGGCTCTTTGAGACTTCACAAGGTGCTGTTGTAGTTACCGGAGTTGATTTGGTGGTTGGGACCGGCAACTTCTTGGGTGCACGAGGGATCAGGATTCCTGTAGGACTGGTGGAGACATTGGTGGTGGAGACATTAGTGGGGGAGACATTGGTGGTGGAGACATTGGGGGTGGAGACACTGGGGGTGGGGACTTTGGCGGTGGAGACATTGGGGGTGGAGGCTTTGGCGGTGGAGACATTGGGGGTGGAGATAGGAGATTCGGTTGAGAATGAGATGGTTGGGGACTCAGCGGTAGAGCTCAACCCTGCTGTGTCAGGAAACTGTGATGTGGAGTTTGGGGTTTTAGTCACAGAAACAAGCTTAGACGTCGACAAAAGCGCAGTGCTGGTGGTGAATGTTTCACTTGTTGTGGGATCAAACACAGTTGCAGTCTCAGAGGTGTGGCTAGCTGTCATTGTGGTTGTAGCTGAAGCTGAGGGACCGCTGAAGGTCTGGTTGAAGACTGGAGCCGGAAACGTTTCAGGAGAGGTGATGGGAGATAACTTGGATGTAACTTCAGGCTTAGCGGTGGACGAAGGCTGCTGCGAAGACACAGCTACTGTTGCTACAGAAGCTGTTGCAGGAGCAGCCATGGCAGTGGAAGTGGTGGGTGACTGCTGATGTATCTGATCCCCTGTAGGGTTTGCAGTCGTCTCTGAGATCATCGCGCTGTGGGAAGGATGTGCTGCACCTGCAGTTGTGATCACTGCTGTGGAGGCATGAAGCAACCGTGGCTCCGTTCTGCTTGTAGTTGCTGCGACGGTGGTTATTGCAACCAAATCAGAAGTGGTGTTGTTTGCGCTGTCGCCTCTGTAAGTGGCGGTCGCCGCTTCCGTTGTCTCTGCTGCCCTAATCTCTGCAGGTTTGTGAGGTTCAGCAGTTGAGCTCATGCTGCTGGTTTCTGTGTTGGAAGCACTCATGTCAGACTCCACCGCATACAAAACAGATATTCCCCACAGCAGAGCCAGGTACGTCTTCATGCTGAGTGCCATCATTGTTGTTTCTGAAATTATAGAAAAGATGCAATGCAAGAGTTTGGTTAAGAAATCTATTAAACAGCTGTAGTAAAAAGACACACACATGGGGATAAAAACAATGTGTCTGCTAGTGACAGCATATGATGAAACGGTCATGTGTCTTTCACCACACCCATTGGTACATTTTGTTTTACAGGAAAACAGAACTACTGCATTTAAGAGTAAATTTGAATCTCTCTTTAAAACAATCTATACGATCAGTATCCATATTTAAAGTTGTCTCTTTATGAAAAAGTAACCTGCAGCCAAAGGGGTCAACATCAGATTTTCTGAAATGTCTTAAAGTTAAGTATACATTTAAGGTATGAAGTAAACAGCGCGGATAAATCAACCTCCTTTGTGAGAAAGTCCTAATAGAAGATAACATTCTAAGAGAATAGTTACTGAACTGTATCCAACTCCCTGACATGAAAGGAAACGCTAGATCACAAATGCAGAAACATGTCTATCCAGAGCAAAGATTTTAAATGCGTCCTCAGAGAAAGCGGGTCGGTGTCTTACCTTGCTGCTGGTAAAGCACGTAGATGAGAGGATAAAATCTGATAGAAGTTCAGCTCATTTCAGCCTCTCTGGGAGAACATCCTCCGAGCTCTGACACGCTTTCTGTATCACTGCTTAGAAGAAACAGGAAATGTTCACACACTTTTTTTTTAAACTGAGAATCCATAGACACACTTCCCTTAGAAACACACGGATGTAGTCTTGCATCAACGACGCAGTAAAAATGATCAGAAGCTTCTTTTTATTGCTCTACAATCACTCAGCTACCGTTTTTTAAAATCTTTTAAGTATCTATTCATTGGCAGAATATTAAATATGTTTTACCCTCTCTGATGGAAAGTTATGGAGATGTTTGCTCTGATGATCTGACCACTACTTTATATAAAGTAGCAGGGAGTACTCAGTTCTGTTTCTCACATGTCAACTACTGATCATGGGATTACAGCTTCATGTCATGTGGGTGAAAGGCATTAGCTCTGCAGGAACTTCAAGGCACCAATAGTGGACCACAGTGACAGGATCAGCTACATGACGGATTATGTCAAGTGTAATACACGCAGGAGTAAATACGCTAAAAATCAAAAAAGTCCATGTGTTGAATGGATTTGAAATGTGGCGGTTTGGTGCCTAATTTGGTTCCCTTGCCTCAAAGACTGATATGCAACAGTAATAAATACAAGGCTTGGACTCAAACCTATGCACCCTGTAACAAAACGGAAAATTGACTTGTGTGGAAATAGTAACTGTCACTTCCTGTACTGCTGAGTCATAGGAAGATGTGGTTGTTAAAAAAAAAAAACCAAAAAAAAAAAAAAACTAGAAGTTTATAAAAATAAGTGACATGAAGATAAACTAAGTTTGCTGGTCTTTTGATTAAAGTAGTACAAAATACATGTGAGGGAGACTAGATTATACACGAGACAGTAGCTACTAATAAAGTTACAGAAGTCATGTCCTCATTGTTTCTGGTAATGTGGGGACCTGAAGTGCAGTTTCATCTTCAGGAAAATAGGTTTATATTTAACCCAGTGCCTTTAAATATGACAAAAGTGAAGACATACAAAAATTTGTACATTCAACAATTTTCCTCATAATTAAATTCCTGGATGAGAGGTGAAAAGCGTTTTAGACCGGCATAAAGCAAAGGTCATTCTTTTAAATTAAGGTGAAACATCCGAGAGTGGGAGCATTTTGATTGCCTCACAACAGCTCTCAACATGTCGACAGCGAGCTGGCAGCTCACAGCCCAAACTAAGGCGGAAGTGCTGACAGAGCTAACAGTGTTTGCCTGTGACCGCCATGTGAGAGCAGTGCAGAGCGGTGGCTGTGAGCGAACCATTGGACCACACTCGCATGCACAAACCTGCACTAAAAGCAGAGCGGCTGGACCGGCTCTGTCAACAAAGCAAGGAGAAGCACCAATAACAACACATACAGAGGGAGAGCGACTTTCTGCTCAGGTAGACATTACTCCACTATATTTTTAAATAGATAATAGTTGTTTGCTGCTATATTAATGTTCAATACAGCTCCTTTAATGAACAACAAATTACAGCCTCTGGGTTGTATGCTTCCACCAACCAGTAAAGTTGCAGTTTACATCTGTCTGTGCAAAATTTCATAACTTTTTATCCGATAAGACATTTGTATGAAATTGGCATAATTAGCATTCAACTCTTACAGCTGTGGCCCAAAATCTTTTGTAAGGTCACAATGACCTTTGACCACCAAAATAAAGTCAGATCATCCTCGAGTCCAGGTGGATGTTTGTGCGAAATTTGATGATGTTGAAACCACATTCATGAGGGTGGACGGACGTGCGGATGGAAAACTCGAATACACGATGACCTCATGAGTACTTTAGCACCATTGGCAGGTAAGAAAAGAAGTAACACCTGACAAGTTTGAAGGCTTTGGGGACTGAGGTTGGGTTAGAGCTGAAACAATTAGTCAATTGACAGAATATTAACTCCCACTGACACACAATACGCTCAACCTCCAGGGATACAGATTGATAAAAGCCAAATGAATCTAAAGACATTAAAAGAAAATAGAGATTTTCAGGTGTAAATTCTTTATTTATGTGCACAGAACTGTTTGTTAGGGGTTCAGTGAATCACAAGCTGGGTGAGTGGTCCCTTCCCAACACCAAATATGCACTGGAGAGGGCGACTTCAGTTTGAACCTTAACAGTGACAAGAGGCACCACTACATTTGCACAACATTTACACCAGAGAGATGCAACCCCCCCCCCCCAATAAAACCCAAAGTTAAATTTCAAGCCCAGAAGAACAGGAACAAAACGCTTAAAAAGGAATTCCTCCACATTCATAAATCTGATGGTTGTCAATGAGCAAACTGGTGGGAGGAAAAAAATGTTCAACAGCTATTGTTTAAAAAAAAAGAAAGAATCCAGCTTGACTAAATCAACCTAGCAGGCTGCGACTGGAATGTACAACAGGAGAGAAAATAAATGTAAAAGCAGTGCATGAAACGGCACATAATTCATATTTGGCAACACATAAGATAACAATGGAAATACTGATGCTACATACAGTTTTTGAGAAGTAAGTACAAACTTCACACAAGAATGTTTTACCACAATTAAAAAAAAAAAAAAAAAGTTAAGACTTTTTCCTTCAACAAAAATGTCTTTTCTTCAAATGTGTACATGAGCTGTGAGAGTTTTTCCTTTCCTCTGTGTGTCGGGGCAAAGTGTGAAACTGGAGACTTGATGAGGAAAAAATATGTTCATCTTGGAATGTAGGGCTTGGTCTCATCGCGGGACGAAGCCCAGCACAATGAAGCCGAATCTTGAGAATTTGGCTGTTGCTGACCCCCGTCCATTCGATTCCTAAAAACAACCAACGGTTCCCGGGAAGTGGGGCCGCAACTTACATGGCGACCTTGGCGACCTGCTCTTCCAGTCTGGCGATTCGACGGTCTTGGAGGATGACGCGGTCCCTGAGTGACTTGAACTCTCGGAGTACCTCTTCCAGTTTATCTTCTATTTTCTGCTCCTTTTTCTGGTGAGAAACGGAGAGAAAATGAGCTGAGCCGAGTTTAGTCGTCTCGTTTGGCTTTCAAGAGGCTGCTCAAGATTTACAGTGTTTACAGAAGGTTTTTTGTGGGGGATAACTTCTGTATCTTATCGACTACAAAACTTATCTTTCAGGCAAAACGAGCACGGATTTGACAGCTGTTAACATTTTCCCTTGCTCTTCCAGTGAATCGTGACCCAAACACCAAAGTATGTGCTGATCCATAACTTTTGTGAATTGTTCCGACCATAATAACTACTGTGAAGGGGGGGGGGGGAGTTCAGATGTCAGCAACAAAAATGCTGAGTGAGTTTGAAAAGTGTACCGCTTGCCATTAAAAAGGAAACCGTAACAATAATAATCTGTTTTAAGAATCTAGTTGTACACAAAAAGAAGAGCTGAAGAAACAATAACTGGGAGGTTTGACACTCACTACTGTGCGCTGCGGAGAAGCGTGCTTCTGCACGGTCGAGATGTTTTCTGCTTTTGTGGCCGGCTTGGTTTCCAGGACGTTCGTCTTGACCACTTTGAGATCGCGGGCCTTCGTGGAGACGTAGCCGTCTTTGAGTGAGATCAGGATGGGGCCTCCGTTCTTCCCGGCGAACCACTCCTCCCCCTCCAGGGCGGGATCGGGGCCGGCCGTGTCGGGATACAGGTCGTCCTGGAACAGGTCCGACTGGTGGAGAGGACACAGGACATGTCATAAGGCGCAGGAAGAGGACATATAAAGCAGCACTGAAAGAACAACGTGTTTATTACTCGATATAAACACAGACATACCTTACGCGGGACTGTCATGATGATTGGTTCACATTTTCTCTCGTGTAATTTGTAAAACCTACAGAGGATGAATAACACGTGATTAATATCAGACACAGCAACATGAAAAACACATTCAAACAACAGTAAGAGTAGCAATACAAAGTTTAACTAAGGAATATATTCAGTCATTAATTAAATTCACATATTGGTAAGGAAAATTTAGCATTTGTTTAAATGTGTTTATTTTAAATAATATCAACGATGAGTAAACACAAAGATCAATAATGTGTGTACTTAGATGAGCTTTGTCCCTATTCTTTCTTCTACTAAAGTCAAATTAACTTTTTTACATGAAACTATGGTGACGTCAAGAGCTGAAACAATTAGTTGATTAATTACAGAATATTAATAAGAAACAACTGATTAATTGTTTTTTTTCCTTTTTTACAGAAAAATTACCCAAATTCTCTGGTTCCAGATTCTAAAACGTTAATATTTGCCATTTCTTTACAACCTTCTATGACACCAAACTGAATATCTTTTGCACAAAATATAACATTTAATTATGTTAAATGAGCTTTGGAAAATTTTGACTATTCTAAGAAATTAAGAAATTAATGGATAAAGAAAATAATCCTTAAAATCAAATTGGTTTAAGCTGATTTGCTCTTTTTAAAAAGTTGGGTATTTTTCAGACAAATTCTGTAAAAAAATAAAATAATGTACATTATACAGTATGTTAGCTCCACAAACTAACAAACATGATTACTACAATACCTTGCAATTTCACATTTGTTGACATCCAGGCCTCTTTTGGGCATGTATCCCATGCCTCTCTGGGGCTCCTTGGTGGAAAAGGTACTGAGGTAGTGAACAAACGGCGCCTCATCGGTGATCTCAAAGTACCGAATGCTGCTGTCACCCTGAGCACACACAGTCGCAGCTCAAAGTCAGTTTGTGAATCAAATTATCAGAAACGAGAAACGAAAACTGGAAAATTTCTTTACAAGGCTGCTCACCTTTCCACACAGGTAGACTACGTTGGTGTCGGGGTCATAGAAGGGCAGCAGAACTCCATTACTGGAGTCCATCTCCTGAACACATATTGGCTCATCCATGTTTTCCTGGAAACACAAAAATAAGTCGAAGTAAAAACTCTTGTTAATTAGATCTGGAGAAGTGAAATCTCTTTGAATGTAACGCCCCCTCCTGGAACTAAAGCGTAATGACAATGGAAATTTAATAGGAAAACAATTATCCTCATTTTACATTCAGGCAACACAACTGATGGAAACTTGCATAACAGGTAGGAAGCTGCACAAAGCAAGTGTATATGTGATGAATCGGTGTGTTACGGATACAATGAGATTCACTCCGCTGACGTACGATTTTCCACAGAGCCAGCTGGCGTTCGCTCATGCGGCTGAATCCAGTGGTGAAAATGTTTCCGTTGGCTAAAAAGATGGCTCTCATTGGCCGAGCTCCCTCGTGAGCTTTGTCCTTCTCCTAAAAACAGAAACACACTTTGTCAGACTGGACTGCCATGTATTGTAGGTGCTTTGGAGTAAACAGCTCGGTGGGCGATTCTGGGAAAGATTATTTCACGCGCGAAGCATCCAAGCCCCCGCAAATCCCCGCGGTGTTTCCACTTACCGCAACAACCCTTTTTTTACGGGGGTCGATGACACGGACCTTCTTGTCCTTGCAGGCGGTGCAGAGCAGGCTGCCATTGCGGCTCCAGCTGACACTAAAGATAACATCAGGGTGCATGTCCTCCAGGTTGATCATGGCCTGTCCTGTGCCCACATTCCAAATGACGATCTGGTTGTCACACCCTTAAATGGACACATGCAGCACAGCATGACTACACGCACACACCTCTGTGTTCCAAGGCTATTTCAAGCCCTTTACGTCACACAAAGCAACATGGCGAGAAGGCCGTCTGTGAGATAATTGGTCCTATTTGGAGTTCAGCTGTGCACAGTGGACAAATGGCAGACAATTACCGAAACGGATATTTCAGTCTGAGGGCGCGGGGCGTGCCACAAGGTTACCTGCGCTGAGGAGAACGTTGCGAGCGGTGGGATGCCAAGACACGATGCCGACCCTCTTGGAGTGGCCCTCCAACACGACCACGGGCACCGAGAGAGGAGTCCCCAGCCCGTTCTCAGGGATCTGCCAAACCTGAGTCCGAAAACAAAACCAGCTACATAACCGGACACCACACAGACAAAAACCTGTCCACTAAAAATCCTCCTACAGTACTAATGCTGAAGAGTTTGACAAGTGTCAAAATGTTTTATTCTTACTCAAAGACACTACAAACTACAGTCTGAAGAAAATCCTGTGGAGAAGAACCGTGTCCTTACCATCACTGTGCAGTCCTCCGAGCCGCTAGCGATGACGTGGTCATTATGAGGACACCAGTCGATGTCCAACACTGGGCCCGTGTGACCACATACTGTCGGGTAAACCTTGTCTATACGGCCAGACTGCGAGACAGAAGACAACTTTGTTACAGCGAGTGTGAGCCGCATCCTCCTGTAAGCCGATATCGGTCAGAGGAATATGAAAATGACGGGGCTAATTTAACTATCCTGTGGAGTTCAGTCCTTTGCATGATTACAAGACTTTTTATGAGCATCACAGTGCAACTTCATCACACATCTGTCCTCATGCTGGGCTAAAAACAGAGAACTGGGGTCATTATTGTACATTTTTACAAAATACACTTGTATTAAATGTTTGATATTTAAAAAAACTCAAGGATTCCGCAGCAAATCCTCCCTGAATTAACCAACACCGGCAGACGGCTTAATGTCATGAACACGTTTGATCATCTGGGCTTGTTATGATCCCAAAGAATCATTCTAACAGGAGGACAAAGTCAACACATATTTTACTGTTATGACCTCACCCCAGTGGCCTAAAATAATGCAGCAGCCATCCCCTTTGCGAGTATCATGTGTTCAATGAGCCAACTGTAACCAGATACACATTACATGCCTTTACCACCAGGCAGATTCAAACATTGATTATCTATGTTTTTTACTATAGATATGAGCCTCGGGGAACGACCGCACGGGGTCACAGCAGCAGTGTGCTGGAGGTCTGCTGACAGAGAAGCCTATAGGATTGATTTGCTACACGCTCTGAATGCTGTACTGTGATACAGTGTACTGTTACGGCGTAACCTTCGTCTCTCCGGGTATGCTTTACAACTTCTGTGGCCAATTTTGGTCTTCAGTTGCCGGTGTCATGCAGCGTTTTATTCCTAACCGACAGTTAAAGCCCCTATTTGAAGGATTTAAAAATGTCACAGCAGAACAAAAAAAACCCCAAATACACCAGCCTCTGAGGCCCGTTTATTTAAACTAGTTTATTAAACACTTCATACGAACTTCGACCTCTCAGCTTGTCTGTAAATGACAATCAAAAGATGTTTTAAAACCCCTTGAAGGAAATGAGAAGGCGTTGCAAAGGCGCCACTCACCTTTTGTAGAGGAAGTACAAGAAAGGCTCCGCCCCCACTGGCGTCTATGATGATGGCAACAAATTTGGGGTTGACGGCACAGAAGGAGCTGTCCCATGTGACCCTGGACACGCGGATGTCATCGTAGCACTGGTCGTTCCTCACCGCCTGACCAAAGACATGGCGGAACTTGCTCTGTCGCACGACTCGCCGCAACATATCTGTTATCAAGAGAAATGAGAGTACGATAAGAGCGCGTTTCTAAACATAAAAAAAAATGTATAAACACGACAGAAAAGTAGCCATTTTCCCGCAGAATAGTGATGTTATAAAATCTGAAAATGAGCATCGTCTGTTAACATTGAGCCTGCAGAGGAAGTCTTTGGTTGATTGCCTGTACAGTCCGTCTGATCTGAGATTAATGTATCAACTGTGAGTTTGTTGCTGTGCATTTGAAGGACTTAAATCAGCTCTACCTGTTGGCAAACGTTTGAGGTAAACTGTACATGAGACACCAGCTGTGTTTAACTCATCTCAGTGTCGTTTTCCAGACTTGTGACACTCGGACAAAAAGTTGCCAACTAGTAGGCCAGCTGAATTAAAACAACCATTAACAAGCATAACATAATGGAAATGATCTTAATTGTTGATCTGCATTTAATGATCAAATTGCTGCTCAGTGCAGTACTCTCACTCCTCTTCCCGTTTCTTCTTTAACTCTCATTTATGCTTCCGGCTTCAAGCGAAGTCATTCATCGGGACTAGACAATTGTTTTCACAGCAAATTCCATTGTTGGCATTGTGACAACTTTGGGAACAGTCAGGTCTAATCCGCAGCCAAAACATGAAAACCAAACATGATGGAAATACTCCTCAGACTTGTCTTGGGGGAGATGAAGATGTTCCATCATTTTAGTGGCATGCTTCGCTGCATGATTATGTGGAAAATATAGTGTCTAAGGGCGGTAATTAAGCTGCCAGTCTGAAGCGACACACTGAGCGGTTATACAGGCTCCAGTTATCTGAACCACCTGCTTCTTCACACGCAGTCATGGATTTTGAAAATGGAAAAGATGAATCACAGCTCTTTGTCCCAAAATCTTACTCAGCAATATTGGAGCTTTTTTTCTTTGCAGTTTTGCGAAGGACTGAACAAATCTTATCTTTAAATAATATTTCAGATTCCTGGAACTCACGGTCAGGATTCATTCATTTCATTAATTGAGGCAAAATAAGCCTTAAAGCCCCCACACACCTATTATACAGTATATCCACACAGGTTTTCAATTATTGGCCTGATTAGATCTCGTCTCAGAGGACAGGGTGTGCAATTGTGATTGAGTGACGCTACATCTTAATGTTTCATACATGGAGTTGATTTCGGATTCTTACGTGGTTAACGTGTAGAATATGGAGTCAAATAAGTATTTAAACATATAACTTCAATCCAAGTAACAGCCAAATTTGTCACCATCCAATGTGAGGTCACATCACATGGCATCGTCTTAAAATCTTAGTTTACACACACACACACACACACACACACACACACACACACACACACACA